GGGGCCGGAGACGGAGACGGGGGATGGAAATTAGGATCAGGATCGGGATCGGGGTGGGGTTGGGGGCCGGAGTGGGAGTAGGAGCAGGAGTGAGAATGAGGTTAAAGCTGTTTTTAGACTAAGGGTGGAGGATGGGTTGGGGGGAGGGGTGGTGGTTTCTTGCTGAGATGAAGTTGCGTAAGGCTCCGAGTCTTTGAGAGGGATTGTGATGTTGAGGGAGATGTCTAGGCTGAGATTTGGTGGTTGTGGTTATGGTTGATGGTTTCAAGGTCGTCTTGAACCGGATGCGGTTCGTCGAGGAACGTACTCTCACAAGAGATGGGATGTCAGATGCGGACAAGCCAGACATATCTTACTTGCGATATCTCGACTGCTTGAGACTTGAATTTCGAAATCTGCGGCAAACAAGTTGCAAGGCTTACTTTGAATGCAATAGAACAGTGATGGAACCTGCTCCATCTTACGATATCACGATCGATGGCGTGAGACAGTCTCGATGCTTCACGACAGGTCCGTCCGGGTATCACTCATGGGAGAATCGGCATCGAAGATATGGGAGTGCTTTATTCTGGGGGCAGTGGTACCACTTGATGAACTTTTCTGACAATACGATCTTGACTATATTTTGGCTTCGATGCTCCTGGAAAGCAACAACTTGAATAGATGTATCTCCAAGGAAGATATGTGCATTAAAGTCTACCAACTGAAAAGTATAAGCCAATTGCTGGTCTTGCCTAAGAACTTGCCTCAAACCATACTTGAGTGCTAAAAAGGAAAAATATATACTTCCTATCGTTGTATTGTGATAAAGACCCAGGACATTGAGGTTCTCACCAAGATCACACAAATAGAAAACCATCACTATCATACAATGCCAAGTAGCCAGTGAAATGCCTGCTTGGCATGTTGTAGACAAGTGCTTACGCCCCTCCAACAATCCTGGCAAGTTGATGGGTCGAAATACTGTAAGGCTGCCACAGCTGCAGGAAACCCCTTGTCTTCAACGGTGTCGATGTGACCATAATTCTTCATGAGGTAATTGAAGCGCAGGAAGTATCTGATATCAACTCCCTTCTTGGCGTAACGTGTGATGATTGATAGCATCCCCGCAGAACCCCCTCTTCTGCTTGTGACCTGATGATGGGGTATGGCCTGGTATACAGAGTTGGAGATGTGTCAGGAATCACGGATGGACATCGTGATCTGGTTTATTTACTCATTTACAATCGTTGTCTTGATCAGCTTGTACCAATCATCACCTAAACCGCAAGAACCAAAAAGACTGAAACAAAAGATGGCAATCTCCCCCGAAGTAGCAGAAATCATTCGCCGCAAAAAGGCCCAATACTGCCGCTTCGCCGACACATGCGAATGGCACCGCTTCGACGCAATCATGCTCCCCACCCTCACCTTCGAAGCCCACGACCTAGACGGGAGCATCCTGACCCTGAACGGCGTCCCGTACCGCTGGACATCGCGCGAGGCGTGGATCGCGCACTTTAGCGAGGCGTTCAAGGTCATGCAGACGATGCACCTGACGGACGCGGGGGAGCTGGAGCAGGTTTCCGAGGACGAGGTGAAGGCTGTGTTTGGGGTAATTTATCACGCCGGGACGAGGGGCTCGGAGTCGGGTTCGCATTCTACGGGTGCCGGGCATTATCATGAGACGTGGAGGCGGGTTGATGGGGATTGGTTTATGGAGAGTTGTTGTATGAAGAGGTTGTATTCTAAGGTGATGCAGATTTGATGTTTTTATGAGATGACGGCGGTATTTGGGGTTTGGGAGATGAAATATCAAGATGAAGATGTTGGATTGTCGAGTTGACGAGGTCAGAGCCGTGTCTGTATAGTTTGAAAGTAGTTGGCGGTGTTTGCTCCGTTAACCTCGCTATTTACTCGAAATTTATTGAACTTAACAGAGTGGTCATCGTATTCAGTCACAAGATGTTATATTTGTTGTTCTCGCTCAATAGCGGCCAGGTAGGGGAGTACCACGGCGTAGAACTTGGATAGAATTCTTCGTTTCATGTGGCGCCATTACGTTCTCTCCCCCTCTTTGGGCCAGTCTCCTTTACGATACCATCTTCCTCCTCCATAGCTACTTCTCATCGCTCCCTACTTCCCTACTGTCCGTTCCTGTTAGTCTCCCGATCCTAAGTACGCTGCATTATATTGCCTTCTCTCGCCGGGAACGTTATCAAGGTGACCCGATGATCCAGTTTTCTCGAGATGAAGGGACAATCGAACCCAGTAGAACCGCATCTCGTATGCTTAATAGGGGCCCAAAAGCCAAAGACTACAATACTTGGACTGACTTGACATCAGCATGGACCTCCCAAAACGAGGGAAAAGCCGCAAATCAGCGCTTAAATGATTTCCGCCTACGATTAGTAACCTAATCGAATTATAAAGGAGAGTGTAAGTTTGTGACTTAGCCTTTGGTAATTTGCGTATGATCCTTTGGTAAACGCTACTGCGATCATGATTCCAATGTCGAGTTGTAAACGGATTCAGGGTAGAATTGTGCGCGTCTATCAATACGTGAAGATTTGCTTAGACTTATGGTGGTTTCTCTTGAAAGCTAGATTTTTTTCAACACAATATAGAAATCAAGTAGAGCCTGAAATCGGTACCAACATCCAAGAGCGAATAGTCGCAAATATACCGAAGAGCCATCCAAGAGGCACATGTAGCTTGGTCTAGAGGAAGAACTAATGAGAAGATGAAAAGGCTGGTTGCGAGGGATCTCAGCATAACCGAGTGCTTTTTGGAAGACTTCCACATACGATGCCCATCGAAGCGTGATGAATACCTTGCTTAGACGGGATAAGACGGTATTCTCCGCTGTGAGACATGGCGAGTGCTGCCAAGCTGAGATCTCAGACCTTAAAATGACGACCGGGGACAGCTGAAAGGCATCAATGGCAAATTTAGCTTGATAAACAAGGAAAATGGTCTCTTTTAGTTTATGATGGAAAGATCAAGTATGACTTGGCTGTTCCCCCATGTCAACACAATGAGCTGGACAAAGTTGAAGACATTTTGTCATTTGAGGATTCTCTTCTTAAGTCTCTTAACTTATGTAAATAGTCAAGCGCCAGGAACTGTATAACGTCCTTTGGCCTATGGTCAACTGTCTGGCCTTTCAAAACGTGAAGAGAATGTTTACTTCTGAATGATGGCTACTCCAAACGCCAGACGGAACATGAAGATGGCCAAGGAGCACAGTGAGAGCCACAGAATCTGTGGAATTATGAACACGCCCGACACATCGCCGGGAGAGGCTCTGACAGACCTGGACGTGTCTCCGTCGCTGTATCCAGACCCCTGTGTGAAACGTTGCCTCCAAAAAAGCTGAGCTGACAGAACTGGCTCGCGAAACAAAACTCCGTACGCCGTCTTTATCGATATGCAAGCCCTTAGCTCCGCAAGGCCTCCAGTCTGTTGCGCATCTGGTTCATCATAGCCTCGGCATCCTCCTCCTCCTCCTCGACCTCGACTGGCTTAGGTTCTTGCGTAACCGGCGCAGCGGGGAGCTTCTCTTTGGACATGCGGTCCTTGAGAATCTCGCCGAGGACCTTGTCGACCTCACCCTCAGCCTCCTCCTCTTCGAACTCGTCCATGTCCTCGGGAAGACTCTCGCCCACCATCTCCTCGATGATGCCGGCCTTCATCAGCTCCGCGCTGAGTTCCTGCATCGTGCCGGCCAGCTCTGGTAGCCGAATCAAACGGTTAACGTCCTTCATCACGCCGACGCTCGCGCGGATGCTGCCCTCGATCTTCCTCACGGCAAACGCCTCATTGACCTGCATCTGCACGCTGTTGAGTTGCGCCTTGGAGGTGACTAGGCGATTGCTCGTCTTTCGCGCGCGGATGAGTTCCCGTGCAAAGTCGCGCGCCTCCTTCTGTGCTTGCTTCTGTCTCGTGGGGTCTCGTTGGGCTCGCTTATCGGCTTGGAGGATGAGGTTCTTCGTCTTGGCCTCGACTTGCCTGACTTGGTTGATGTCGCGGTCGAGTTTACGGATATTCGAGCGAATGAGAGCGTTACATTTCCGCAGCTGTTCAGATACGAACTCATCAGCAATTCCCCTAGGTAATGCTGTCACGACGGGCGGAACCTACCTGTTGCTGCGGATCAGGCTTCACGAATATGGCTCTGAGCGTCTCCATGTTGGGCGGATCGACAAGTTAAAGGGCCGAAGGAGACTGTCAATACGAAGAGCCTTGGAAACCAAGGCGTCGCGATGGTATGTAGTGGATGATTCTTCGTAGCGCGTTGTGTTAGGCTGTCGCCAGCCTCGTTGGTTGCCAGGTTCAATCAGCGCTGCCTTGGGTTAGGAAGCGATGTGTCGTCATTCCCTGCTTGCCGCATCGACTGATACGGCTTGTAGTGGGGGATAGTCGTCACGTGGGGAAGATGTAGCTGATATGCACTTAATCGACTGGGTGCAAGCAGAGGGGGTATGCAAGTAGCGACTACCACATTAAGCGAGTAGATAGTTGACGCTGGATGGGGGCCAGGAAAGCTTCCGCTGGCTGAACTGGCACCTTGGCAGCAACAAGAAACGCATTTTGAGTCAATGACTGCAGCGCTAAGTTCATCCTGAAATCTAAATGCCATTCAATCGGTAACCATTGGCAGGATGTGAAGTCTCTCAGTCAAATGAGAAGATGCTCGCCCCTGTGTCATCCAGCGGACAGTTTGGGAATCCGAGTGCGGGCAGTGAGTATCACACAGGTAGGCGAATCGCACGTTCCGGGCGGCCCGTATTGCAGCAAATGAGACCCCTGGTGGATAAGAAAATCAGCAAGGGCCCACGATGATCTCACTGCCTGCCTTAGTTGACCCGCGTCGGAAGACAAGACGAAGTTACGCTGCCTACCTATACATAGTGTAGATGGATGTCAAGCAGTTGGATGCTCGGGCCCGGTTGGATGACGGCTCCGACACTGAGGAACCTGGGAAACAGAATGCAGAACAGACTTTTGTCTTGGTGGAAGATCAAAGATTCCAGATCGCCTTACATTAGTTGACACAAGGGAACAGACTGCTCCAGGTCGATTTTGTTGTGTGCATGCGTCTGCCATGATGCGCCTCACCAAGAGCTGCAGGCAAGCGACATCTATCCACTCAGAATGCTTCTTACGCCTATTTCGTGGGGTTGCAGGGGGGCTGGAAAGCTCTTTCGGCCGCGAAGCCAACGTCAGCAAAGAGGGGAAGACAGGGAAACAGGTACGGAGTACTCGCATCTGGGGCAACAGTCCCACATAGAAAGAAGTACCTGGCAGTAACTGGAAAGACATGAAAGAGGCTCGGCCAGGTACCTGGCACCGCCAGAAAGAGAATAGGGGAAAAAAAAACAGCCCTGGACTGGACGGGAGGGAGGAGGGGAACTTGGAGGGGGGAAAAGGAGACGGGATTTCTAAGTGTACAGTGCGTTCAGCCCTGCCAGGGTCCGGTCCGCAGCGGCCCAGTGGTGATGGCAGCACCAGTTGGCCCCCAGTGCCAGTGCCAGCCTGGAGCTGTTAGTGCTGCGAGGTACTCCGTAAGCTAGGTGCTCTGTGCATCCTGCCGCCTGCCTGGTGTGGGTTACTACCAAATCTTTCGGATTCGAGCGCCTTCTACAATTGCCCGTGATCTCCAGGCGGTAACTGGCACCCACCCGGCCTCACCCCAACCAAGGGCCCAGCCTTTTCAAACCTGTAGCCTCACAACCCCCTCCAGCTTCTCTCTTCCACACACTTTCAACTCCTCCAACTCCAACAGTCGTTGTCGATATCTGCACAACTTCTACACATAATACCCCTTCTTACTAGGTCAATTTGCCAACCGCGATTGCCTACTTGCGACACATTTGCGATTCGCGTGAATCAACCTACCCCTCATCCCCCGTCATAGCTCCCTGCTCGACAAATTCCCACCAGCAAAATGTCTGCCACCACACAAACTCCTGAGGGTACGTACAAGCTCATCTTCCCATTTCGCGCGTTCTAGGAATTGAATCGCCGACTGCTACACCCGTCGGCAACTCATGCTATCTTCGTTCCTCGAAGTCACACCCTTAACCCCCATGTCGGAACATGCGCCGAAGCTAACCCGGTCTCCCCCCACAGTTCTCTGGGCTCAGCGCTCCAGCTCTTCAGACGCCTCCAAGAACTTCGTCTACTTGACGATCACCGTTCCCGATGTTCCCAAGTCCAGCCTCAAGGTCGACCTGAAGCCTACCGGCCTGTCCTTCAGCGGTACCTCCGACTCTCTGAAGCGCTCCTATGCCGTTGACCTCGAGCTGTACGCCGAGATCGACCCCGCTGAGAGCAAGGTCAACCACACCGGCAAGAATGTCGAATTCAAGCTCCAGAAGAAGGAACTCAAGGAGGAGTACTGGCCCCGCCTGCTCAAGGAGGCCAAGAAGGTCCACTTCCTGAAGACCGACTTCGACAAGTGGGTCGATGAGGACGAGCAGGATGAGGCTGCTGAGGAGGACTTCTCTCAATTCGGCGGTATGGGTACGTGCTTTACAAACTCCCTTAAAACCCCAACACTACGCGATGGCAGATTACGGTGTAATGGAGCCTTTTCAATTTCAAAGACTAACACGTTGTTTTACTAGGTGGCATGCCTGGTATGGGTGGCCCTGGCGGCGGCGACTTCGGCGGCATCGACTTCTCCAAGCTTGGCGGCGGCGGCGCACCGGGTATGGAAGGCTTGGGAGATATGGAGGATGAGGAAGATGATGAGGATGACGATGACATGCCTGCTTTGGAGGGCGAGGAGGACGACGGCAAGGCCGCACCTGCTGCTGACAAGGCTGCTGCGAAATAAGCAATCTCTTCCTTTATCACGCACCCCGAGACGACTCTCCCGGCATTTAGGCCAGCATTCTTGGCTGCAACGTCCGTGGACACCGCTCTAGACTAACGACTATGAATGTACTTCTTCGAATCAAAAGACAAAAAGAAAAGACGACCCGTGCTCTTTGGGATTGGTTTTTACTTATTACGACGAGAACTCAAGGTGTGGTAGGCATTTAGCGAATGGATATCATGATTCTGTGAGCATTCTACATATTCCACTGTGGAAGTCACTTCCTTGCAAGTGCGGTTCCTGCTCTCTCTGTCTGTAGGCGCCCAGGTGTTCGAGGAGATTTATGAGGTTGATCTTTTGCGCCTGTAAAGCCGGGAGTCCAGGATTATCAGATGGTGAATCGACTCGAGAGATCAGCCGTGTTTCTTTGTTTAAAGCCACAAAGCTCTTTACGTGTCTGACCGCAAGCTTATTTTTGTCGCTGAATAACTGAATGATTGTCTCGGACACTATTTGATCACGAAGAACTTCACGTTGCGTTTTGAATTTCAAGTTGGGGGCTCGGCGCTTTGTGTATTAGAGTCTGTCCGACTTGGGGATCGCTATAATACATGCCCTGCTATAACTTGGGCGAAGCAGATGGGTGATGCGGTGTTCCGGCTCAGTTAAGCCGTGAATGGTGTTTTTGTGATGTTTGGGGATAGTTGCCGGAAGGCCGAGGGAGGCAGTCTGAGAGCTTGAAAGAAACCAAAACATGTCGAAACCAAAGCCATAATCCCATAACCTCCGTATATTCTCTCCTTCCAGCAATCTGTTTGAGAGTTTCGGAGTCGCGCACACAAGGAAAGTTCAAGGGAGCCCCCCACGCACAGTGTGCCACTTTGACCTCCTCAGTGCCTGGCGTTCTGTGAATGAGTCTGTAGTAGCGATGTGCCGTTTACATGATCTCATCCTCCATAGCGGCGTCGCCATTGGTGGCAGCGGGGGCAGGAGCGGCGGCTGCCGCGTTCTCATTGGGGTTGGCACCAGACTCGAAGTAATCGGCCATCTCAGAGTCAAGCTCCTCTGCCGTCTTCTTCGCAGGGCGGCCGGTACGCTTCGCACGAGGCTTCTTGCCAGCAGCGCCAGCAGCAGCAGGACCACCCTTACCGGTGTTCGCGTTGTTGTTGTTGTTGTTGTTGCGCTTGTTGTTGGCAGCAGACTTGGGCTGAGCCTTGGGTTGCCTGTTTTCTTGTGAGTATGTATTCCAGCATCTCATGGATAGTTTGCTTACGTGGTGCGCTCAGCAAGGGTCTTCTTAGCAGGGGGGATGACGTTGGCTGCCTGAGAAGCGCCAACAACAATCTCAATCTAATTCCCGTTAGAGTGTACATGGAAGGTCATTTTTCGAGGAGCATACCTTGATCGGGCGATTGTCGACAAGAAGACCGTTCAGCTTCTGGAAGGCCTTGCTAGCGCCATCCGCCTCGCGGAATGTGATGTTGGCAATGCCACGGCTGACAGAGTTGGGTCCGTAAGAGATGTCAACTCTCTTGATGGGTCCAACTGATGTGAGAAAGTACTCCTGAAGGGAAAGTCGAGGTTAGTTATCCGTAAGCGTTGATGTTTTCAATCACGAGCGTCGTCCGAACCCGAGCCGCACAAGGGGTAAGGCATCGGCAGAAATCCAATAGTCGACCGCAGCACAGGAGGTTGGCAGCGAGCAGAGCAGTGAGCGTTAGTACGCACGTAAGCGTCCATCCCCAAAGAAGCCCCAATTTGAGCCATGGCTGCCTCATGCTCAGTTGCCATCAAGTCGGAGGGTATCACCCCAAGTCGTAATAGCTGCTGTAGGGGAACGTCGTCACACATGGCCGTAACACCATGAGGAGCGTTTCGGACCCAAACAGCCATGTGTATGTACCACGCCCCAAACCCCCGCTAAAAGGCCATCCGTCGTTGTAGGTTGGCGAATCGATAGCCGTGAGGCTATGTATCGAAGCCGTCCTGGCCTGTGCTGCGACGTTGCTCACTGCTTTGCTCGCTGGAAAGGGCTTCATATTGCATCGTCATGCTGATGAGCGGTGCCAGACCAAGCTGGTCATTTGGATATCCGTCGAAGACAGCCAACGTCCCATCTTTTCAGTCGGCTGTGCCAATTTCTTGGGTGCTGACCAGGCTACCTCAAGTTCGGACTGTGTTCGCGCGACAGGGACGTGCTCAACTTCTGATGAGCTCTGCGCCATATCTCAGGATCGCAGATATCGAGTGAAGGAGTCTTGGCGGTGCCTTGACGGATTCCATTTGGGAAGCGGCAATGGCCACAGTGGATTTGATCTCGCTACGACGCCGGCTGGGAAGGAGAGCAGGCGAGAAATAACATGTCGAACCAAGTCCGAGGGCTGAAGAGCCTTATCGGCAACATACCTTGATCTGTTGCTCGTTGACATCCTTGGGCTTTGTATGCGTTAGCTTGCGCCAGGACTGAGAGAGGGAGGGAAGTAACTTACCAGGTTGCTCACGATGACCTTGCTATCACCAGAGCCTTGCGCGGGCTTGGCGGCGTTAGGCTTGTTGGCGGCGGCGCCGCGCGCAGGTCGCGATGTCTTCTGAACACCGCCGACTGGGGCAGCGGCCGCAGGGCGACCACCGATGGATCGACGCTGAGAGCGACGGCCGGGTCCGCCGGCAGAGCGACGTTGGGTCGAGAGAATCTCGTCGAGAGACTGGTCAAGCTTTCCAGACATGGTGGTTGTGGTGTTGGGTTTGTTTGATAGAAAAGTTTGCTTGCGATAGTGCTGCGATGAAAGAGCAGCTGGTCGATGGATCTCTTCAAGTATTATTAGGTCGTGAAGAGCGTGATGCGAAACGAAGTGCTTATGTGATGAAGAATCAAACTTTGACGCGTAGAAGCTTGCGCGCCAGGAGTGGTCGGTCTGAAGAAAGAGGTAGAGAATACAGGAGCTGCGCAAAAAGTTGACGATGCAGCTGAAGAAGAAAAGGTTTGGTTTGGAGGTCGAGGAGTCTTTTTGATGTTGGACGGGGAGGTTTGTCTTTGGGAAGGAGAAAGGTTGCGGGATGAATGGAATGGAATGGGCGGGTGAAGGCGAGATGGGAAAGGAGACGGGGCAAGGTGTTGGTGCCAGCGGAGCGGCAGGCTGCGGCGCGCCTGACCAAAACAAGGGGGGCCTGAGGACCCCGTTGACAGCGGGAAGTTTTGATTGGTCGGACTAGTCCTTTTTGGGCCGAGAAGGATCCGCCAGAGCTGCTGCCTCCTCAGCCACACATCCCCTGTTTGCGCCTTCCAATTGTTCCATTTCGGGAAGCAGCTGGTCAGGTCTCCTTTCTCTTTGGCGCTGAGTTCGAATGCGCCTTCCATTATCAAAATTGGAGGATACAACAAGGCCGAAGCAGGAATTGGGGCAATTGAGGCAGACAGTCCATGAACCAACGGGCTCTGTTGTCACTTATAAACACGATCAACTCTACAGATTTGATCGGCGCCACAGCCAATATTTGAAGAAGGTTGTAGCATAGCCTACTGTTATGAGGCGTACACAGCATTTACTTAGAGAGAACAGAGGTAAGGGAGCTCAAGATCATGGATTTCGGTGTCTGTTAATGGCATTACAAGATCGTAAATTGGAGGTTGTGTCGTGGGATCTTGCATAAAGTCGATGTTCACCACGTGGGTTCAGCGCTGAGCTAGATTAGACTATCGTCTCAATGGTGATGCTCTAATTGTTTCGATTTTGGAGTGCAAGAGCTTGTAGATGCTCCTGGTGTTTGCTTCCTTGACTGCATTAACTTGCGAAGCTCTGTGTTCTCTCAAGGGAAGAACGCTTGGTTGTCAACCCCCCGAAAGGCCGTATTCGATATCACCTGTCCCCTCAGACATTGACATCAATGCCCCCTCTCGTCGCCAATATGTCGCCCCAGGCCTCGCGTCTCGGTTGTCCCAGGGCAGCCACAGAATTCCCAAATCCCTCTCGCCATATGTATCTTACAGCGAATATCCCTTGGCACCTGACTATCTCACTTGCGCCGTTTCGTGGTCTTCTAGGACACTGCTTTGGCGGACTTCGCGGGTCGTACAGCCTTCTCGGGCTTTTCTTCTTCCGTGTTGACTTCTACATAGTGGTAGAAGATAATGAGAACCATGGCGGCGGAGCCAAGGAAAATCGCAAGGCGGTAGAGATCGTTGTCGGAAATCATGATGGGCTCGGGATCGTTTGCGCGATGATGCTTTTGGGTGGTGTGCAAGGAGGATCTTTGGGGGACTTCTATGTCTGAGTGTCAGTTTTCGGTACCAATACTGCAATGGAAGAGAACAATGACTTGAACGTACAGTGAGTGTCTTTCTTCCAAACAGAAATGGAAGGAGTTGGAGTTGTTCGTCAAGGTGAGCTAGTTGGACTTGCTGGCGCGGCGCATATGGAGCTTGAGATGAGGATGGCAATGGGCGACCAAACGGACAACTAGACCACTGGAGCTGCTGTCCACGCTTAAACCGGTCACGCTAGGAGTGACTTGGTGCTTGAGTCGGTCCTCCACTTTTAGTGCCGCATCCCCCTGGTCAAATCTGCTGTGACGCTCCGCCCCCACCAATGTAAGCCCTTCACGTGACCCGCCCACCGTGCCTTGAACTTCTGACTTCATCCACGGCGCTCCCACTCTTCTTGGATTTGCAGTGATGACTTTTTGCGTTACGTCGATCTGAGCGGACCCTACCGACCTGTCTGTCGACATCCCAAAATAACACGACCCAAACTAATCCCGCCAGAAGCGGTTACTCAGTCGTAGCAGAAGACTTTTGCTTCTGCCCACCAACCTTTTCTCGTCTCCAGAAACCGAATACCCCGCCAAGATGCCTCCCAAGAAAGTGGACAAGCCGGCCAAGAAGGCCGTCAAGGTCGAGGACAAGACCTTCGGCATGAAGAATAAGAAGGGTGGCGCGGCCCAGAAGCAGATTGCCCAGATGGCGTCTTCGATGAGGAACGGTGGCAGTGCTGAAGAGAAGCGCAAACAGGCAGAGAAGGAGGCGAGAGAGCGCGAGAAGAAGGCAGCCGAGGAAGCCAAGAGGGAGACCGAAATGCTTCTCAACAAGCCCGCTCAGATTCAAAAAGTCCCATTTGGTGTCGACCCCAAGACAGTTGTCTGCAACTTTTACAAGAAGGGCAACTGTGAAAAGGGCAAGAAGTGCAAGTTCTCTCACAACCTCGAAGACGAACGCAAAACGTCAAAGAAGAACCTGTACACGGACACCCGTAAGGAAGAGGAGGAGAAGAAGAAGGCCGAGACTTCTGCCGACTGGGACGAGGAGAAGCTTCGCTCTGTTGTTCTTTCCAAGAAGGGCAACCAGCAGACCACTACCGACAAGGTGTGCAAGTTCTTTGTCGAGGCCATCGAGGACGGCAAATACGGATGGTTCTGGATCTGTCCAAATGGCGGCGACAAATGCAAATACAAGCATGCTCTGCCACCAGGGTAGGTGATATCAGTCCAGCGGCCAGTCTCAACGCTAACATTGCCACAGATTCATTTTGAAGACCAAGGAGCAGAGAGCGGCTGAAAAGGCCCTCATGGACAAGTCACCTCTCAAGACCCTTACCTTGGAAGACTTCCTCGAGTCAGAGCGACACAAACTTACCGGCACCCTCACACCGGTCACGCCAGAGTCATTCGCCAAATGGAAGAAGGAGCGACTGGACAAGAAGGCGGCTGAGGAGCAGGCCAAGAAGGCCAAGGAAGCAACCGGTCGTGCCCTGTTCGAAAGCGGCAACTGGCGCACAACCGAGGACGATGAGGAGGAGGACGACGATGAAGAAGACGACGGAATGTGGAACTTGGAGAAGCTGCGTGCCGAGACCAATGCTCTTCGCGAGAAGAGGGAAGAGGAACGTCTGGCTGCCATCAATGGTGGGCCTGTTCCGCCAGTAGTGCCGGAACCGGTAGCTGCCGAGGCGTCCGGATCTTGAGCTTCCTAAAAGAGGAGAAGCCTTCTTTATGCGCCCGAGGTTGCGAGCATCACCACGAAACAGGCCGATTCCGAGCACCTGGAAGACCAGGTTCATCCGGCGGCCGTGTCAATGCTACGCCAAGCCACGGTGGCAGATCCGTCTACTCTCACACCTAAAATCAATGAAGTATGACTACGTACGCAACGTGCACATCAACTTCCAAAGTTGAGTACTCGTGAGACTACCAATGGGGATATATTGAGGATCTTTGGCTGCTTAGAGAGAGGCCATAGACTGCTTGTGATTACATTCAATCATGACGTGGATCTATCTCAACGTCTTCAGTTCCAGTGCCGCTCGCTTGCTCAGAACTTTTCCACGTACGGTCTGATGTCAATCTCCTGGCTAAACGCGGAGCGGTGTTGTGTGTGCAGGTACCAGTACGCATCAGCAATCTTGGTTTCGTTAGCAATATGTCTGCTTCAGGGTTGTTGCAAATCACTTACAGCATCCGGTGAGATCTTGCCGTCTTCTACGCCACCGTTGGCAACAAAGGCCTTGCCCCAGGGGGTATCAATGCCTCCATCGATGATGGCATGTGACACGTGGACTCCCTTCGGACCGAACTCGCGTGCCAGAGATTGGCCTAGGGCGCGGAGGGCGAACTTGCCTGCCGCGAAACTTCCAAACAATGCGCTACCTGCGGAAGAATGTCAGTCATCTTTCAGAAAGCCCCCATCCTCAAGACAGACAAACCTTTGATGGATGCTGTGGCTCCAGTGATGATCAAAGACGGCGGGTGAGGGGAGTCGGACACCGACTCGAGCAGCAGGGGAAGCGTCTTTTGCGCGAATGTGAAGAACCCCTTACTATACACCGCGCGTATTAGTCACCTTTTCCAGAAAATCTAGTAACTGAGGTCTTACGTACGGCGCGGCGTCAAGACTGGCGTCAAGCTCCTCCCGCTTAAGCTCAAGGAACGGCTTGCGGGAAAAGCCGCCGTTGACGTTGTAGATGGCGGCAGCGAGCTTGCTTCCGGGGAGCTCCTTCTTGATCGTCTCAAAAGCGGCGTTGACGGCGGCCTCATCTGTGGCATCGGCCGTGATGCCGAAGGCTTGGCCGCCGGCCTGCTTGATCTCGTCCACGATGGCGTTGTAGCTCTCTGGCTTGCGGGCGAGGAGCACGACTGGGTATGCCTTTGCGAACCGGACGGCTGCTGCGCGGCCTGCGGTCGCGTTAGTCTCGACTGTGTAAAAGGTACGCTATGGTAGGAGTGAGTTCTTACCAGTGCCGGAACCCGCTCCGGAGATGATTGCGTAGAATGACTTGGAGGCCATATTTAATCAGACGTTTTGATGTATCTTTTACTTTAGACTGCTATTGTCAAGATGCTTATCAATTGAACATTAAAGAGGTGAAAATGAAATGCTGTGAAATGCGATTTACCCACGGCGAGCAGATGAGGGGTTGAGTGGCTTTATGTCTTATTGAGGCTTGCATGTGGTCGGCCCGGCATTGTGAGATTAGACCATTGCTCGGATCCATGACGGCATTTGCGGAGGGCCGAACGGGATGCCCGATTATTAATGTCCCCTCTCCGGCAAGCTCTAATTACGGCCTCCGACCCGGTGCGAGGTGCGAGGGGAAGAACACCAAAGAAGCGATTGGCAAAACGGGTTGGAAATGATGGAATGAGATCATTAATCAAATGCTGATGAGCTGTGTTTCGTGCACTTGATAATTGAAGCTTTGCATTCGCGGCATTGTATAGTTATCACCTCTATCTTATTCATTCCTGACATGAAGTAGACTCCATCTCCTCCAATGTACTCAGATGGTACGTCGAGTATCACTTGCACTGGGCCGGTGGGAGATACTTCTTCGACGGCATCATGACCTATTTGCGACCTCTCTCCTATGAAAAGCCATCAGTACCACTACAAGTAGCGACAAAAGGTGCTCAACTTTTAAATATGAGGATCAACTCAAAGTGAGATGAAGAGAATGAATGAGAACGAGTGACATCGAGAACCTACTTGCCTTGAGGCAAGTGCGGCAATCACCCTTGCCCGCGGTGCGAGCCGCCCTAAACGGGAAGGCCCCGCTTACTGCCAGTTCCTTCCCTAAGTTCCCTCGAATGCAGTCGCGCCTGCAATGGCAACCTATCAACGCGTCGCTAGCTCATCTTTTCGACCTCAAAGATCGACCTTTACAACATCCCCGGTCGATTTCTCGAGTGCCTCAAACTGCACATACTCAACAATACGACACTAGATTGGTTTTGCACAGATCACACACGCAGCAAACCTCGCGACAAGTCGTCACAACATACCACAACCACGCACCTTGAAAACCTACTTAGAACGATTAAACCTCACTCACCAGCATGCTCAAAGAGAACTGTTCAGCCAGGACTCGTCGAATTTGAGCGTATTCACTATGCCACCACTCTTCTCCACAAACTCAGGCACCAAAAATGAGTCTGCCTCACAGGGCCCAAGCAATCCATCTATCCCACGACAGCGCACCTTGGATAAGTTCTTCGGCAGACCAGGTAGCAGCATACCATCGACTTCTTCTACTTCAGCCGCTCAGATAAAGCCGAGGACATCAACAGCTCAGCCAGCGCCACGATCCTCCTCGTTCGCCGTGGTTCTTCCATCGAGTCCTGGGAAGCGTACTGGAACGACCCCCATGAGGACAGTCGAGGACGATGCAGACGACCTGGTGATATCGGACCTGTCACCGCAATTCAGAAGACTGGCAGCTCAGGCAAAAGTAGGCGTGAGCCTCGCCGAGCCAGCCTTACCAGAAGACGTCGCCGATGAGCCAGAGCTAGAGGTGCTTTCATCAGAGGCGGCGACCCCTCCACCGCAGCCTCGCAAGCGCGGCCGGCCAAAGGGCTTTCGACCGAATTTGACAGGCAAGAAAGCCTCACAGGAGGCCGGCGAGGCAGGACCAAGAAAACTGCGGCCGGATAGGCCCAAGACAGGCGCCCTGTACGCGGGAAAGCGGCGAGGTCGACCGCCAAAAGCAGCTTCACCCAAGCCGCGAGAAATCTACAAGAGTCTTAATTCACACTTCAATACGTACATCTGCGAGTGGGAAGGTTGCAAGGCCGAGCTTCACAATTTTGCAACTCTGCAAAAGCATGTGTCGATTGTTCATACCAAAACGGTAGCAGCTGGATGTCGATGGGCCAAATGCGCCCAACAGCAGCCGCCTCACAGATTCCCCATACTGGCGGACCTCAAATCTCATGTGGAGGATCTACACATGCTTCCAGTCGCCTGGCAGGTAGGGGACGGGCCGCAAGTGTCGTTCAAGCGATACGATCCCGATGATGGGACCAAGCTTCCTGACTACCTTTTTGACAAGGCCGGCAACCAAATCACACCGTCAATCAAGGATCAGAAGGAGGAGGACCTGTACACGTGGCGCAACAACAGGCGGAAACTCAAGGATCTTTTGCTTCTCAGAGACCAGAACCTGCCAAGCGAGGAGGAAGACGACGACGCAATGGAGGAGGTGGCCGAAGGAGCATGAGGTGGCTCATGGTTGTGGCGCAAGCAAACACTTGACGCGAATCACGGGCTGAGTTCTGGCAGCCATTGCAGGCGACGACAACACCATCGAGAAATACTGAACGGCGAGGCGAGCACGCTGATAATGCTTGTGAGGACCAAGCTTCATGGCACGGTTTCGGATGAGGGTTGACCGACTGCGCCTCCCTAGGGATGACGGAGACTTCAGAATAACGGGGGTATCCGCTGCTTAGAAGGCCCCTGGAAAGTCGTGCGACGGACATGTTCGGCCAACTGGAAAGGCCGTTGAGCGGTCTCCCGCTTCCCCAGACGAGCATGGATGATTTGTCGAGGCCTTACTTGACGGGTAGCGGATGAGCCGGGAGAGTCGTCGTCGTCGTATGTCTGAGCATGATTATTCATTCGAAAGGGATGACTTGGCATTGCGGCTCTTGCTAAATTTGACAGTTCAGGCTGATGCAGGAAGGGAAGGGAAGGGGAGCAAAAAAGGCGCCAGGGACGAGTCTGGTCGCATTCCATCTTACATCATCGGCGGGGATGTGCGGTGTTTTGTGGGGGAGATTGCTCAACGTTGCATGAGGAGGCGAAGGTGGAGTGACACCTCGGCATCCAGGGAGGGCCGCTGTTCAGGAAGAAACATGTCCCAGCCCTCCTCTCTCGCGCATTCAGGGCATTCGATTCAGCAGGGCGGCGGGAAGTAGGCCGGCTTACCGGATATCAGTTGAATCGAGTTTCTTCCTTTGCAGAGGTTTCGAGTGGGCGAAACGAACAGAACAAGCAGGCATCTGGATCAAATGGAACAGACGAGATAGGATAGCACAACATCCGTAGGGACCACCTACACCAAAAAAAGAACCTGAAGATCGGTTCTAGAATACTTCCCATGCAGCATCACACGCCTAGTACATCGACGGGCGGCCGACGGACTCAAGTACCAATGCAGAAAAAAAGTGCAAGACTGGGTGAAGACTGTGAAATGATTCGTCAAACAGTGCTTAACACGAACGTGACAAGCCAACCACACCAGCTAGGCACGGAAGGTGGCGATGGGAGGATGGCGCCGCCGCCGTGGATGCTCGCGACTTTTCTCTGTAGAGTCCAAGGTTGATTAACAAGCAGGCGGGAAACCTCTCTAGTGCCCCAGACGACTGGATCGCCGGCCATGAACCCGCGCGGTGTCGTGGTGGTGTGGAGGGCTGAAAATGGACCGATTGAGGGGAAACATATGTATGTACTCTGTTGTAACCTAACACGCTTAGGTGCTAGGTACTAAATTATGGAGGGGCTGGAGTGCTAGCGCGGGATTACACGACAGGTGTGGTTGACGGGAGCGTGTCTTGCAAAGGAAAGTGTTAATAGTGTGACAGTGTCTTATTAGACACTTCAGAAACAAGCTCGTGTAAGGTTTCTTTCTTTCCAACTTTCCTCTATTCAGAAGTTGAGCGGCAGACGTGGAATGGCCTGCGAGGTCAAACGCAATGAGGCTTTTCTTTGCCCCGGCATCTGTGCCCAGTTCTGCATATTCGTCTGATGCTGGGTGTTTTGCACGAGCACTCGAGGGGTAGGAAAAAGATAAAACATGTCAATGGCGGGGATTCTTCATGGGAACACAGAGACGAGAAAAGAGGGAGGAAATCAGAGAACAAGGGAAAAGTTTGACGATTGTTGTCGTTGGAAGAGTGTTGTTATGAGTGCCGGATGCTCTGGCATGTAATTGCCGGTGAGGCTTTCGTATCTCGAGCTGGCGCCGGTGTTATCTTGGCTCTTGCCAGTGCACTGGGCTTGCGCTCAGTAGTCAGTACCAAAGCCCATGTTGTGCGTTTTGTTTATCCTCGTCCTTGGACAAGCCTCCATCGTCGACACTGGCCGGAGGGATGAGAACGCATGAGTAAGGGCCAGAACGCTCTGAAGCAAAAAGAGAGGAAAGAAACAGGAACAGAACGTAAAGGCGTCAACGGGTTGGAAGAAGAAGAAGGCACTAGAGATAGAGTTGACGAGTGATATACTCTCTCTGGTGTTGAAGGTGGTGTGGACAGACGGGACAGGATGTATAAAGAATCGAGATAGGTACCTCGAGTGACTTGCAAAGCCAATGGGAGAAGGAACGGTACCCAGGTACGCAGTGGGTGATGAATGGGGGAATTTGCGAGGCGTGGAAAATCGTCGGGGAAAAGAGCACCAATCGCCGGAGCAAATCCCCTTTTGTCAGCAAAGCCATCCCCCCAATTCCTATTTTGCAAGCAGCCTGCCAGCCTGCTCGGACCTGACAAGCACACAAGCCTGGACTGAACAGAAAGAGCAGAGGCATAGGGATTGGAACTCTGGACCAGCATTGAGAGAGGTCTTGACCAACGCTGGAACCTAGAGGAACCTAGGCCCAGGCCGGGCCCGCCTGAAGCGGAACATCCCTGCCAAAAAGCCGTCCCATTCTGATCCGTTGGTGGATGTCTTGTATCATTGGATCCTCCCCCTCCCCCCCTCCCCCCTGGCCATGCCACACAGTAAGGCAAGGCGATGAAAAGTCACCTGGTAAACTGCCTCTTTACCCCCCGAAGGCATGCGTTTCCTGCTGTGCTGCCGCTCTTTCGCGTGGGCTGCCACTGGGGCTAGGGACCCCCTGTGCCTCGCGGTGCACTGCCCGAGAGCCACTGAACAGTGGGCACAGGACTCGTCCATCTTTATCCGCCCGTATCTACTGCGTAGAGAGGAAAGAAAGAATACATAGTAGAGCCCAGGAGGGCGCCGGCGGCGGCGACAGAAAGAGCGAGACCCCAGTGAGCTCCCCAAACGGGGATTGAGAGTGCTATGAATTGTGAGAGGAGCGAACAGAAAGCCATACCTAGTGTATCCGTAGTCCTCGGGTGACAAGCCAAGACCAGGACTACGACCAGGACCTCGACCTCGACCACGGCCACGGCCATCGACCAACGAGCGGGGGGGGATGGATGGTCCATGGTCCATGGGAAGTTGAGGTGTGGAAGCCGAAGCGTGAAGCCCGTCCGGAAAGACGCCTAAGCCCACCTCACATTACTAACTCGCTTTCGACTCTCTCTCCTCCCCCGTCCACCGCTCGCCTACCGCCTGTTCTATCCGTCCTTGCCTACCACCACCTCCTACTGTCAACCATTCCGTTCTGTCACCTACCTACCTGCCTGCCAACACCTATCTTTCTCTCCCGGCCTTGCTTGCTGCACCTCCTCATCCTCCACCACCACCCGACCCTACCTTACCTTTTAGACGCTACTTACACTCCGCATCCAGTCCCACGTTCCTCCCACCTACCTCACCCTCACCCTCACCTTAACCTACTCACCTCCGACCTACCTCCCTACCTACCTGCATACTACCGTCGCTGCTCTTCTTCCGCTCCATCTCCTCTCCGCACTTCCGAACATCGTCGGTCCTCCTCGCTTCTCTCCCGTAACTGTCCCGTCAGCCATGGCATCGGTCGCTTGATTGCGCACCCCCGAGATTCCGATATGCCTGCCAGCCGAACCCACCAGAATGGCGCTGCCCAGTTCAACCAGAAGCTGAAGAACCTCTTCCGCATCAACCTTAACAGCGGCGCCGACCGTGACAGAGAAAAGTCCTCCGCTGCTCAAGTTCACTCTTCACAAGACGCCGCCGCCGCCCGCCCAGAAATCCGGAGCAAGTTTGGCAGCAGTTTTTTCAAGGGCACCGTCGGCCGATTGAGGACAAACACCACCGCCAGCGAAGGCAACCCCCTCGACGAGGCCCTCAGCCCGACCGCGCACGCGAATCCCTACTTTGCCCACCAAGGCCAGCCGGGCCTTCGCCATCATAATCACGAATCAGTACCTCCCAGCCCTCCCGATACCCCAAATTTCAAGATCCAAGGTCCTGACGGCGGGCCCGAACAGCACACGACGAGCGCCGGGCGAGAGGAATTGGCTAGGAAACTTAGGAGAGTCGCCAGTGCCCCCAATGCCCAGGGCTTGTTCTCCAAAGGCAAGGGCAGCGCCGAGCGTCCCGCCACCGCCGAGCTGAGCAAGGATCCTTTGGTCCTTGACAAGGACTCGGGCACCCTCGAGATGGTTGATCCGTCCAAGGCGTCCGCTCCTAGCCTGGGCGTCCCCGACAAGGACGTCCTCGGTAACCTCCCACCGCCGAATCGTACGAGTCTCGCATTCCGGAGGACCTACAGCTCCAATTCCATCAAGGTTCGCGATGTTGAAGTTGGCCCGCAAAGTTTCGACAAGATCAAGTTGATCGGTAAGGGAGACGTCGGCAAGGTCTATCTTGTTCGCGAGAAGAAGAGCAGTCGTCTCTATGCCATGAAAGGTAAGATACAATCCAAGATGTTCGGTAGCCAAACCCCAACGTGTTGCTGACTCGCTGCAGTATTGAGCAAGAAGGAGATGATTAAGCGGAACAAGATTAAACGCGCCCTTGCCGAGCAAGAAATTCTAGCTACGAGTAACCACCCCTTCATTGTTACGCTGTACCATTCATTCCAATCGGAGGATTATCTGTATCTATGCATGGAATATTGCAGTGGTGGAGAGTTCTTCAGGGCGCTACAGACGCGCCCCGGCAAGTGTATCCCCGAAGACGACGCGCGATTCTACGCCGCCGAGGTCACCGCAGCCTTGGAATATCTGCATTTGATGGGCTTCATCTATCGCGACTTGAAGCCAGAGAGTGAGTTAGACGAGAGCCATTTTTGCGCTTACCAATCGGTCGCTGACATACTACGCAGATATCTTGCTCCACCAGTCGGGCCACATCATGCTTTCGGACTTTGACTTGTCGAAGCAGTCCGATCTCGGTGGAAAGCCCACAATGGTCATTGGCAAGACAGGCACCAGCACCACCTCATTGCACATCGACACTCGGTCGTGCATTGCCAACTTCCGCACCAACTCGTTCGTCGGAACAGAGGAGTACATTGCACCAGAGGTCATTAAGGGTAGCGGCCACACTAGTGCCGTGGACTGGTGGACCCTCGGCATCTTAATTTACGAGATGCTTTACGGAACCACCCCCTTCAAGGGCAAGAACCGAAATGCGACTTTTGCCAATATCTTGAGGGAAGACATCCCCTTCCCCGACCATGCTGGGGCACCTCAATTATCCAAGTAAGCTTGAAATGACAAAATGAAGTTACAAGGTGAACTGACAAGAGTGTAGCCTCTGCAAATCCCTGATTCGTAAACTTTTGATCAAGGACGAGAATCGGAGATTAGGTGCCAAGGCCGGTGCTTCGGATATCAAGGCTCATCCGTTCTTCAAGACGACTCAGTGGGCATTGATTCGGCACATGAAGCCTCCCATTGTGCCTGTCACTGGGCGCGGTATCGATACTGTCAACTTCCGCAATGTCAAGGAGAGTGAGAGCATCGACTTGAGCGGATCCAACCCGCTACAAGCGAACCTCAAGGGAGTTCCTCTGGATAGTGGTATGGCGACCCCAGGTGGTGAAGTCGTTGATCCTTTCGAAGAGTTCAACAGTGTCACGCTGCATCACGATGGAGACGACGACCATCACTCACAACAGAGTGGACAAAACCACTCGTAGTCCGCGCCGTCACTACGTCCAGGGTAGTGACAGCGGCCAGAGGGCTTTGCTTATAGGAACGAGGCCAATTGAATTGGTCACGCTCATCGGTGGAATCGAGAGAGAGATCGAATGACTCCCGAGAGAGTGTAGGAGCTAGGTGCTTTTCGACTGGCAGTACCTGCAGCTACGGACTATCATTTACAAGCGACGAGATTGAAGAGAAACGAGAACTCACGAGAGGCGAGCGGAGGAAAGAGAAGAACGTCCCGAGCCTTTTGAGTCGAGGGAATCAACAAACAGGGTCATGAAACCATGGACCCACGCTACAAAGGCCTTCACGGTTTCCCCCTTCTCGAGGACTATCCACGGATTTCTCACGAAAATATTTCAGCCTGCAGCATAGGGTCTCTGTGCCTTCATCATTAGGAGTTTTCTGTTCTTTATCATCCGTATTCCTCGTTTTTGGAGGAAAAGTCCTCCATTGGCGTTTATCGAGTTTGGGAAATTGGGGTTTTTCTTTTCTTCAAAGAGACGAGAGAACAGAAGCGAGAGAAAGAGAAAGGGAAGGCAGCGAGTGAGGATTGAGAAAGCGGAAGCGATGTGGGTTGTTGAGTAAAAGAAAAGAAAAGAGAAAACTTCCACGGGGAGGAAAATCTTTTTTTCTTGGTTTTCTGTAAACCCTTGCCATCATTAACCACGAATGAAACGTAAAATAAGCTTGAGAAATCATTAAAACTTGTCGCGTGCCACGAACGTGATGTACCTAAAGGCAGACGAATAGGGGAACTCAGTTCACAAACAGTTGCTGAACAATGAGTAAGTCGCCTCATAAACGGGGCCAAGCAAATCTCATTTGAAAACACTAGACTTGACTCTATCGCTAAACAAACATTGGTTTCTCTGAACGGGTAGATGCCTTGGTCGGGTAGACATCGTAAACTGTCTTTCGCTTCCCAGAAACAGCACCTCTTCTTGCGCCAAGTGGGCGGCAATGTCTCGTCGCACTCACCCAATCTCCACAATTCTTCTCCTTCTTCTTTTACGCTGCCAGCGAAGTTTGGAAAAGCCAATTCATACAGACAAGATACAAACACGTGCGCTAATGTTGATGTCCCTTACGATAGTCGCTGTAGCAGCCAGCGTGGCCGAAACATGTTCAACAAAGACGCATTCTAGAGCTTCGCCTTAACGGCTTGCTGCTTTGAAGGGGCCGTTGCCTCCTCGTTGAGGTTGACCGAGCCCGTCTTCTCACCGTTTCCGAAGAAAATGACTTGCACCGTCAAGTCGTCCCTGTTTCGAATTGGTCAGTTTTCCTGAATCATGTGCTCTACCTCGGACTTGCAACCTGACTCACCTGTAGCGTCTCGAGAAGGGGGAGGGCAGAGTCAGCAGGGCGGAGACCTGCTCTTCGTTCTTGCCACCAAGGGCGTTGCGGACCAAATGTGTAGCCACGTTCTTGTCCTTTACGACGAACCGTTCGGGGGCGTCGGGGGAAATTCCCCACTGCTGTAAGCGGATAGGTGTCTTCTGGCCATCAACGCTCTTGTCGCTCGCCTGCTCGACGGGGAGGCTAGACTTCTTGGATCCGAAGAGCTTGGACCAAGTGGAATCGAACTGCGAGCCAGAGCCGCTGGCCTGGGTCTCGATCCACTTGCCGACAAGGCCAACGACCTCCTCGTTGGTGAGCATCTCCCACAAGCCGTCGGTAGCCATAACGACAAAGTCACCATTCTCAGGCTCAATCTTTGTGGTTGTGACGACAGGCTCGGCAGTGACGTACGGAGGCGTCTTGAGGAGAGGGGAAGCGGATCGGGCAAAGAAGGATTCACGGAGTCTGTTGGTGATCTCGCGGCTCCACTTGTAGCTAGCATCGCCGAACGCGCGGGTCGGTTCCAAACCGCCGAGGACTCGGCCGTTGTGAACGACTCGGTCCTCGCCAGGGTGGAGCTTGCGCAGGCGGGCTGCCTCATCGGGGTTGCCTCCTGTTTGGTCGACCGAAAGAGCGGTAGCTGTCCACTTGCCAGAGGAAGATCGACGTCCGAGAACCGCTCGGGAGTCGCCGGTGCAGGCAACTCGCAAAAGCTTGGATCTGCTGTCGTAGAAAGACAATAAGGCGCAGGAGCCAGACAGGGCGGGTGCCAAGAGCTCTGCAGCCATAGTCTTGGAGCCGGCTTTGAGGACCCTCTCGACGCTCTGGTTGACAATCTCGTCATCCAAACGAGTGAAACCAAGCTTGATGGCGGTATCGATAGCATCAGCCGCAGGAGACAGGTCAGCGGATGACTGGTAGGTCTGGTTGAGCTCGTTGGCAACGGAGGCAATCAAAGTCTGGCGCAGCTTTGCCGAGGTTGTCCAGCCACTGTTCAGCGGTCAGCATTCATCAAAGACCATGCCGTTGTAGCTTTCACTTACGCATGGCCGTCAAAGACGCCCCAGAACATCCAGTCGTTGCTCTTGCCGGCAGCGCCCGCGGCTTGGTTCGGCACCTCGACAATCTTCTCGGCGTGGTCGTCTTCGATGGGGTCGTTGCTAGGAAGCTGGACAAGGTCGTAACGCAGTACGCCCTGTCCCCTGTTGACGAGGAAGGACTGCTCCGTCTTGCGCAGCTTCTCAGTAGCTTGGTCGGGGGTCAACATCTCGATAACCTTACGGCCGTCGTCGCTAGTCGTCTTAGATATAGGTCCCTCTCCCACAAATGTACCGGTATGCAGCTGATCAGCGCCTACGACGAGAACAGAACGGGTCGGGGCAGCATCGCCGCCGGCATTGGATGCGGTGGTGAAGCTCCTCGTCAAGCTCGATGCCTTATCGAGACCGGTTCCGTTGTAGGAGTACCAGGCGCCGTAGCCGACGAGGGTGGACACAAGGGCGACGGAGAAGCGGCGGATGTACATGGAGGACTTTAGCGGCTGGACGGCATGCTCGGGGGGGTGTTGGTACGAGGAGGAGGATCGCAGGCCGTGGCGGGTAGCGTAGGACGAGGAGAGGTTATGGTCCAAGAGACCCCGTCGGCTGTTGCGTGCGAAACTACGAGCCGTACATCGGTAAGTTGTCCGTAAGGCCCTCACTGCTGCGCGATGCATTTGGGGCAGCGAGATGAGGATGAAAGGCGGGTGGACTGGAAGGCGATCCGAGTCCAGTAAGGAGTGTAGAGAGAGCGTCGTGGGAGGGTTTGAGGAAGTGAGCTACCGGTGGGCTGCCAAGACGTCGTGTTGTGCCTCAGGCCGCAGACGGGCGTAGTTGAGTCTGGGGAAGCTGTACGTAGGTGCAGCCGAGCGCAGCACTGTGGACCTTGGTGTCCCGTGTTGGTCAGGTACCTTGTGCCGCCTATCCTTGGCCCGCGATCAGTAGGTGGTGGTGATTGCTAACTATAGCAACGTCAGAGAAATAAGTCAGTCGAGAAAAACATTGGCATACGGGTGTGCTGGCGCCTACCACGGGATCAAAGACGCGAAATGTGTCGTCGGATGTTTCAGGGATTCGTTTGTCAGTCGGGTGAGAATTCTTTCCGTTGCTTATGACAGACAAATTCAACCAAGGGAGTACGATACTCACCTGTCTTGGGTTGAGCCTTGAGGTAGGTAGTAGAGGTACCTAGGTACGTATTACCACCTGAGCTTCTGGCCGAATGTTATCTTATCGGCAAGGCCCCGCTCAACTTTAAGGTAAGGTAAGTGGAGGTGAGGTATCCACAGCTGCACTTACGGAGTAAGGTACCTTTAGGTGGCTCAGGGAGTCTGCTTCACCATTCTCGACTCCTTCTTTACCTCACGCATGCATAATATTCGCCCGGCATTTACAGCCGATGTGCCGGGCCACAGGAGCGTACTAAAGTATGAGGTTCTACTTTCGACGCCAGTCGCAGAAGATTTTCAGTACAGGCAATAGCATGCGGGTCACAATCACTTGAGTGTCTCTGGATGAAAGAAGTATTAAACTGCCTCGCTATGGACGATGCTGCCATTCCCATGTCCCTTTACTCCTATGCCTGCTTCTTTTGAAGCCCTTAGCCTCCCACCTTGGCCACCATTTGAACGCCGTATCATGAGCAAGCACATCTTGCTGGAGAGAAATCAACTCTGTTCATCAACCCTGCTTTCCTGTCCTTCACATTGCATTGGCCGTCAAATGTAGATCTGAAGGCACCTGCCAGCCATGGGCCATGGCAGAGCGTCTGTACGCATCAATGGCCTCACCGACTCCGTAGTTGGGTCCTCCAGTCATTTGGCCTGTTCCCTGGTACTCCAGTCTAGCTGGAAAAGGCTCGAGATTGCACAGAGCCAAGCGAACCTGGAGCAGAACACTCTCCATACTGCTGGCAACAGACCAACCGCTGTTCGTCAGAAGCTCCATGCACATGGCACCGCCAGCCGTGACGTGACCACCACCTCTTCGCGAAAATGGTAAGAAACGGGGGCGAACAACTCGGACGAAGGGGGGCGAGTGAGGGAATTGGCGGCCAAATCGGATCTCGAGAACGATGCTTTCAACGCCTGCTCGCTCCATATCCTGCGCAAGAGGCAAAGACTTTTCGAAGCTGTGCAGCTCGACGAGCCACTGGAACATGTTTGTAATGTTGTCAAAGTCAATGTACCAGCCGAGCTGATGAAGAGGTGTTGTAGCCTGCACCTTCTGTAATTTGCTGAGCTCTTGGCCGAGGACCTTTCGGCCTGTGTCCGACGCCCAGCTCGGGGCTGGCAGCTGAGGCAGTGTCGTGACGTCAAGTGTGCCCGGCGTGAAAGAGGTCTTGTCTGGGTCAGTCTCTGATTCGGCCTCAAGGACGACTGTATCGGTGTCTTTGTCGTAGTCCTCTTTCTCCTTTTGGAGGTCCATGATCTTGTCAAAGTCATCCGGCTGGTCTTCGCCCGGATGCTCTGTGAGGACGATCGGCTGAGACCACGAGGACCCTGGGACAACAGTTTTCTGGCGCCACTTTGGTAGCGCTGCGGCTGGGATCTCCAACACAGAATTGCTAATCCCCACTGGTCGCCACTTGGGATCCTGTAAGATGTACTCCGGCTTGGTCTCAGGCTCTTCTTCGTGCTTCACTGATTGATTCCGCTGAATAATGAGGTAGCGGCACTGGATCCAATCAACCTCATCGACAACATAGTACGGCTTAACGGATTTGAATCTTTCCGGACGGTTGATCATCTCGCAGAGACTCATGGCGGCGTACAGCTTGAGTTCCGAACCGGCCCATGATGTCTCGTTGCCCTGTCTCATGCAGTAGCCCAAGCTTGTTGTAAAATCGCGGGCGAAGTACACTCCGTGACCATAGGCGCGCCCATGGAGCGTTTCTTTGAAGTCCAAACCAGTTCTGATGATACTGTGCCAGTTTCCGAGCGGGCTCCCGTGCCACGCAAACATCGTTGGGTATGTTTGGCTCGCCTCCTTCTCAAGCTCTTTCTTGAACCGATTCTCTTTCTCAGGAGATCCTTGGGCAAAGCGGAATTGCATCCAATCGTCACCCAATCCGACGAAGCGTTCCTTCTGTCGAGCCTCAGTCGCTTGAATCCCGCCAATGTCAAGGTCGACCGGCTGGTCAATCTGTACAATGAGCGAGCGGTTGGAAGCCACAATCCATCGGAGCAAAGCCAGAGCCGACTTGGAAATCATCTTGTACTTAGATAGAGACCAGCCTTGGTGACTAAGAAGAAAGTCCCGTAGGTATCTGATGGGAGGAATCGTCTGCACGAGAATCAATAACGCCTCCCTCTGATACGCTTCGCTCAGACTGTCGAGATCACGATCGTAGAGATACAGCTCAGCATCGCCCTCCTCATCATCGATGTGTTCTTCGTGGTAAACGTGTGTCTCATAAGTCGGTTGAGCATACTGAGGGCGCGGTTGAACACCTGTACTATGGTACGTTGTTCTGTCGGTTGATATGAGACGATCGAACTCGAACACTTTGCCACAATCGTTGCCGCTGTCGTCACGGATCGGGTTGGCCGAGGTGATACGGCAATGATGCATGTTCAGATCTTTCCCATCGCGGCGCAAAACACGTTTGGCCAAAATGACCATGTCTCCCTGTCGCAACCTCTCCAGTTTCTCGGAAGAGCGCACGTTGAACTTCCCAGCAGATATCTGGGCCCAGACTAGAATTCCGGAACCCTGTACTGTCTGGGGCTGGATCGGGGCCTGAATCGGGACCTGCATCATTGTTGCCTGGAATCTGCTCATCGCGGACGTGAAATTTCGTGGTGTGAGCTCATGGCTCGGGACGGGGACTTTGATAGACAGACCTCGCGGCCATTCTCGAATCCGGTCACTTTTCAGAGCAGCAGCGCAGAAGCTGACCAACAGATCGACGACGTAGGGACGAGTGATGATGTCGTGCTCCGTACTGGGACCCAGACCCAAAGCCATATACTGGAAGAGGCAGAGAGGATCGTTGCAGACATACGGCTTGAGAGCAGTAAATCCAGGTTCAGTTTTGCGGTGGCAGACGAGGCAGTACTGCGTGCTTTTGACAAAGTATCGCAGAGCGAATTGCATCGCAATCAGAGGCAAGCTGAGTTCTTCACACGGCGATGGGCCTGTATCCCGGGGGTTTTGTCGTACGTAGTCCTTGTTGAGCGACGTGAGAGCTGACGTCGAGACTTGAGCCTCGTCTTCAATCAAGCTGCCGGCCGTTTGGCTTCGAGTCGGATCGGGACTGTTTTGTGTGGAACTGTTGACACGCATGTGCCCATCTTTGGTCATCTCCTCCATCATATCCTTTGCGTGGTCCCAGGAGACACCATCATCCAATCGAGTCTTCAGCAGGTTGACAAACTCCTTATTCAGGAAAATGTCCAGCGAGTCCGAAATGGGCATTGAGCAAAACGCTGCCTCGCGAGAGGCCTCACTCGGCAGACCGTCTTTCTCTGGGCTCTTCTTGGCAGTATCGAGATTGTTTTGGAATGGAATGAGTGCTGAGTGAAAGGTGGGCTTGAAAGAGGTGCATTTTCCCAACCGGAACTGCATAGATTCCGAATGACCTGGCGGAAGCTTCGTAAAAGTTTCCACGCAAGGATAGCCTGCATCGTACTTGTAAAGCAATACGATGTAATCTGAAGCGCTGATTTCCCAGGCCTCTAGTGTGTCCTCGCTGATCCCCAGATGCTCGACGAGAAGGGAAAGTGCGAAGATGCAGCTTTCCTCGTGTGTGGCAGCGTCGCTTAGTAGAGAGATCTTGAAACCGGCGTCTTTGGCTTTCTGAAGATCGTCGATCAGGCGGCTAGGAAACTTGGCCGAACGGCTGGGCGGTTGCGGAACAGCATCGCCACCAAAATCAATACCGAAGTCAGTATCGTCATATTCGTAATCCTCGTCTGCGTACTCTTCTTCGTCGTCTTCGTAGTTGCCGTAGTGTTCATCGTCGTCATTATCCGTCATTTCCACATCCGAGCCTTCGTCAATGTTCGCCGAGTTGAGGCTTGAGGTCAGCTTCTTTGAGATCATTACCAGCGTGCTGAGTATGGTTTTGCCCTGACTGAGGTTGGGAATATCGTCAAGGACCTTGGAAACCGCACTCGAGGCAGATTCTTCCTTGGTGTATGCCACAAAGCCAAGGCCATGTGGATAATCGTCCACGTTCAGGGCAGTAAGGCAAATGTTGAGGGGAGATGGCAGAGCATCATGGGAAAGAACGAAGGTGAGTTCGCCGTCATCATCTCCTTTCTGAAGACCCGAGATATGCTCAACTTGTTCGCGGGATGCCTCAGCCAGATCAGCATTGAATTTGTGGCGTGCCATGATGAAGAGTAGTGATCTAGCAATGCAAACAAGCAAGAGTGATAGTCGGAAGTCGAGTTGTGCCGCTTCGATACAAAAAAGTAACCAGCAGCGGCCGCCTTCTCTAGGAAGAATGTTAGCCAAGCAGTGAATGTACACCGGAGGCACAACTGGTAGTGCAAGAGAAGTGTGATGAAAGGGTCAAATGAAGAAGAAAAAAATAATAACTTACTGGAAATCGCTTGGCCTAAAAAGACCTGGAGAGGTGTAGAAGCGACCCTTGCGGGAGTATCTCCCGTAGCTTCACACCAAAGAATAGCCAGTAAAAGAAATAGAGAGAAGGGATCACAAGCCGATGAGTCGCATGCTGACTGCCATCAATCGAGAAATTGGGACAATGTGCTAGGCTTTGGACGTGATCCCGAGGAATTTGGAGGATTTTCGAGGCAAGATAAGGCAAGGCAGGCAGGGTTGGAGGTGGTGAGAAGGAAAGGTGAGGGAAGGGTAAGGTAGGTAGGTAGGCAGGCAGGCAAATGAGCGGCCGGGACAATAGTGGAGAGCAACCCAGGCAGGCAGGCGTAAAGGGGAAGGAAGGCGGTAGTGACCGGCTACCTGCCTCGTGAGAAATATGAAGGGAAAAACTGAATCGAATGGCAACGACATCAAAATCCTAAGTGTTGTGTCGGGGAATGGGCCGAGGGCCGCAAATCGTGGAGATTGGAGCAATAGTAATAGAAGTTGCGCTTCGTGCCATCCAATACCTCTAGGATTACGGGAGGACGAACGGGGCATACCTAGCAACGATGAGAATGGGGGTTGTACATAAGTCAACAGACTGTTGGCTGGGACATCCGTCAGCCTGGGTATAAACGGACCTGCGATTCACCCGCAGTGGCATTCATGGATGGCATATAGAAGTGTACCAAGGCAATTACGGTGCGGCCCCCAATTTAGGCCATTCTACCCAGGCCGCAAATTGTCGAATGCGACAGCCCAAAGACAAAGCACCATTATGTCCCAACTTGTTGGTTGAGATCGTTGGGGTGCAGAAGTTACCTTCAGTACCCTGTAGGTAGGCAGTCGCCTGCTGCCTGCCCCCTGCTACCAACCAACAGTCTGCAACGCTGTACCAACCGCCATATTCATGTTCGAGAAAGATGATTGGGCATTTTCAGCAGATGCAATCTCTCCCTGGTTTCCCTACTGTATGGTACTTCCCAGGTTACTCAGAGCCGAGAGGGAGTTCCCCACGGGCATCTGATGAGGACTCCATACTTCCGGAGCAGAAAAAAACGGCTTTTCTTATCAGACGTTGCATCCGGACACGGCCCCACGCCGGCCTCATCTAGCGGGGTTCGGGGCGGTCCCGCATAGCAACCCCAAGTAGTTTTGTGATGCCCTTTTCTCGATATTAAGATGCCAATAGTTGCTAATATGCCCCCTGATAGAAGAGACGATTTTTGAAGAGAGCCTGCAGCTGCATGTGTAGTGTCGAATCACGCGCGTCGTGGAGCGGCTCAGTCTGTTGACAGTTAGCAAAAACACAAACTTACATTGTTCTCTAGCCGTGCGCCTTATCAGGCGTCAGTCGCCTGCCCTCTTTGAAGGTTGGCAAAAAACTATGGGAGAAACAGGACGAAGGATAGACCTTCCTAGACACTTTAGGTACTAGTCAAGGTAGTGAACAAGTCACATTGGACGCAACCAAACACCGTCGTACAATCAAATCAAGGGTAGACTTTTTTATTGACCAGACCGAAATTATCATTATCGTGACTACTACACCACAGACTTCAGATCGTCTTCATCTGAAGCCTTTCCGACCCGTACGGACTAATCTGCACCGGCTTACCGCCCATCCACCGATAATACCCGACAACCTTCTTCACCGCGCCACCCCAGCCGAGCTGCCTCCTCCGCCACGCCTTAGGATTCGACCCGTCCCGGCCCTGCTGCACGACCATGGTAGGGTTCACCGCCGAGTCGGCCATGACCTCGACGTCTCCGCCGCCGGGCTCCGCCATGTCCATGTACATCTCCGTCGCCTGCTGCCGGCGCCATCTCGACTGCGGGGGCATCGACATGAGAGATATCCCGTTGGTGGTGGCGGCGGCGGCGGTGTGGGTTTTGCTGGAAGGGAAGAAAGACTCGACCGTCCCCGCGGCGGCTACTTCGAAATAGACCTCGAGACAGCGCAGCTGGTCTAGGTAGATGATGAGGAGGCACAAGATGGCGGCGCCGATGGAGGAGACCCAAAAGACCCAGAACCGCGGCGCGTTGGGGGAGTACTCCTCGTTCATGGAGAGGATGGCGGAGACGACTGTGAAGGGGAGGAGGATGCCTCCGAGGTACGTTACGCGGTCTAGGGCGCGCTGGTTTGCTTCTTTGCCGCTGTCTGCCGCCATGGCGTCTGAGTACGGCTGGTTGCTGGTGCCCTGCATGGGCATATTGACGTCCCGCGTCTGTAGAGCCGCAGTTGTGGGTTGCGTCCGGGGCCACGCGGTCTGCGGCCTCGGCGTCGAACCGAGCTTCGAGATGGCGACGCGGCGCTGGAGACGCTCGAGGAGGGACCGCCAGTCCGGGTGCCGCATGCCGCCGCCGCCGCCGCCCAGGAGCGGCTGGCGTGCTTGGTCCTGCGTGAGGTCTAGGTTTTGCTCGAGGGACTCAGTTGCCTGCCAGTAGAGGCCACCGTCTTGCAGAGATCCGGGCTGGGCGCACGAAGGGAGAGTCTCAAAGAAGTCTAGCCACTTATCGTGGACGGCCTCGCAGAGGATGTCCGGGAGGGTTTGCCTCGTGACGTTGGAGTGGCGAAAGGTGCGGAGGAGGCTGTCTTCGAGGCCAGGAAGCTCGTCACCTTCGGCTATGAGGACGTTCCAGACTGAGGTACCGTCCATTTGGGACTCGTCTATCTTGCTTTGCCATGAGCGGGTGACGGAGAGTGGTCTCCGCGCCTTTTGAACCTGTGATGATGGGTCGTTCCAGATGGGACGGTCTAGGAAGAGGACTGGAGGCGCAAGTCAGTTTGTGTGAGAGGTATTCATCAAGACGGTTGAGAACATACCATCGGCTTTGCTGCTCATCCACAATGAAGCATGGCAGAACATGACCGCCTGCCCATCTCTCGACATCATATGGAAGGGCGCCTCGTCCATCACATCCACCAGATCAGATTGCCTCGCCGACGGTTTATACCCAGGATCCGGCCCATAGTTCCCCCTCGTAGTCTTGACCAGCTCCGGATACGCAAACGAAACAAAACTCGAGCCCTCGTCGTTCCTAGACGGCCGATGCCGCCGCCTCCCCGCATGCGCTTCAAGAAACCCGGGATTCACGCCCAGGGAATCCCGCAGCACCTGGACCAGATCCAGCGGCAGGCCCTGGACGATGGTGAGCCGCCTCCGGCCCACGGCTTCCCTCAAGAGGTCTTCGGCGTGGTTGAGGAGGCGCTGCTTGCACTTGTCCGTCTCCCAGTCAAGGACGTAGGCGGAGGAGCTCGACTCGGGGAACTTGCTCATCAAGGATGATCGCCGGACGAGGAGCGCGGGCGTGTTGGAGCGCTTTGTGTGGAGTTCGGCCGAGTCGCTGGCCGTGAGAGGCGGCGACTGCTCGAATGTCTTTGATCCGACCATTGCTCCCAATTCAGTTTTGATTCGATGTAAGCCACTTTTTTTTGGGCCGTTTTGCGTTGCCGGCTGGGTGCTATGTTGTGAAACTCTCCCCTTTTTTTTTGACGAGAACCATCTCGAACGACGCCAGAAAAGAAAGATCAACCTCGAGTTATAATAAAAGTGAGACTGAACCCATGGCTGGTAGCTTGGTACCATTGTTGGTTCATCAAGTGACCTGAGCTAGAGCATCTGGATTTAGAGCTTTCCCACCCCCTAAGCTTTCTCACCTGTGCTCTAGTCCCATCTTAGTCCGACTTTGGGCCCCAAGTGAGATGTGGTTTGGTGGTGTCGGCCGGCCATGGCAGCTCCGTGGCTGACTGTCGTGAAATGACGGGGTTGAGATTCGCGTGCTCTAGTTTAGTCCTGAAACCATCCGGGGCAGATGTCGATGAGTAGGCTTGCCACGTCAAGCCATCCCTTTTACTTGGAGAATACGAACAATGTGGTTTTGGAACGCGCTCATGATCAGGTTCGGCACACGGCACGCTTGGTAGAATTGACACCTACGATGCGCTTCAGAATTCCAAAAGGGAAAGAAGATCGGTTTTGGTGGCATGTTCATAGAGGTTGGCGGCCTCGATGATTCAAAAACATCCCTCATTGCCACAGAGAACCTCTCGATAAAAGGTAGTAGACGGAATGAATGCTATAGTTTAGTGCCTCACGTACACACTCTTACCCAACCTCCTCCCCTCATGAGAAAGACATCTGAAGGGGCATACTTAGACGTCATGTAAGACGCTCTAACGAAAACCTCCTTTACCGCTCCAAACTGTCTTGAAAGATAGAGGTGTGGACGGACGTTGTTGGAAGACGACGGGAAGTCCGCGCGCATCTTTGATGTGGGTGGGTGATGGCGCACGAGCCGCTTACAAGTCCCTCCCCATTAGGTAAGGCGCTCACCGAAAGATGCACTTCACCTCACCGACAAGGGGACTGATGCTTTTTTTTCGGGGTAGTGTTCCTGCGCACCTGGCCCAAGGTAGACTGGCGGGGTTCAAGCCACAACGCGTCCCGCCCACCGCGACTCACCGAAACAACTTCCCGCCGATAATTGACCAGAACCTTACGAAGAGTCGCTGTACACCATTTAGCGTCAACCAAACTTGACCTCGGTATATCCCACGAGACAGAAGAGACAGCTGCATCATCAACATGGAGCAGGGGCGGGACTCCACGCTGCTGCACTCGCAGCCGGAGTTGTCGCCGTTGGAGGCCGAGGTGCTGGAAGAGTACGAAAAGTTGGCGGATAACATGAAGAAGGTTCGTCTCATTGCGTAGCTTCCTACACTACACTTAGACTCGAACCTCTCTCCCCTTCACCTCTTTCTCCAATCGCCAAGATTTACATGGCTAAGTTTGTTTCTCCTTTTTGAATTGCAGCTTGCTTCAACACTGGAAGACCTAAGCGGCTCGCCGAGCACCGAAATCCTCGACGGTCTGCGGGAGCTGGAGCGCAAGACGAGCTTGGTGTTTACGCTCCTCAAGGCGAGTGTGTACAGCATAGTGCTGCAGCAGGAGATCGATTGGGGTGACCAAGCCAGGAGCCACGAGGAGGAGGAGTAGAGAAAGACAAATACATGGGATCACAAAGGTGCAACACCTATACTGAGAGGAGGTATGTCGCAATCCGCGGCGGTCTTCTCCGGATTGTACCGCGAGAGGAAGATGGAGAGTGTACAAATGCATGGCGAGACTACGATCAGAGCAGATACCCCCCCAAAAATACAAGACGCCAATCGCTTTATGACGCTAAGATTTGCATTCACTGTCCGCGGGGGCAGAGGGGACCACAGAGAGGGTTCTCTAGAGATTTGCGCTTTTTGTTTGAAGATATACAGTGGTATACAGAAGTGGTATACAGATTAATACACAGATCCGCCGTAGTAGACCTTTCTCACATCGACCATCTTCTTTCCGCGACCAATGGCAATCTCCTCCGGATCAGGTTGGTTCATGAGGGCCTTGTAGACGGCGTTGACGGTGTTGTAAGGGTTCTTGGAGCGGGGGATCTTGGCCGCCAGATCGTGGATACCAGCGAGACGGGCCATTTCGAATATCCTGTGAGAGACGCGGAGTCCGAAGCCTGGTTGCGTGTCAGTACAACTGTGTCAAAGAAATAACAAGAGGTCGAGGAACTAGCAGGGCTAGAACGTACCTGGAGGACGGGCAAAGAGCTGCACAACAGTTCCCGAGATCTTGGTCTCGACGTTGCCGTAAATGGTGCGGTTCTCATATCTGCGGATAGGCTTCATGTTGCGAATAGCCAGAAGCGTGGCTGTCGCCGTCGCAATACCGGGGTCCGTCGACTTGGCCTCTCCCAATCCCAGTCTACCGTCTCCGTTACCAGCTACGACGATGACGGAAGCACTGCGGATCTTACCCAGACGAGTCTGGTTAGAAACGGACCGAACGACGACTCTCTTGGTGAGGATGGAGAGGATATCGCTGATCTTCATGCCGGTGGCCTGCTTGAGCTTAATGAAGCGACCTGTGGGGTCGAGGCCGTCGTCCTCGACGTCTTCCGGGGGCTGGTAAAGTCCCTTGACACCCTCGACCTTGCCAAGCTCAGGGGCAAGCGCTGAAGTGCCCTTGCCGTCGGCCTCCTTCCACAAGGCTACGCGGGAGCGAAGGGGGTTCTCAGAGGTGCTGAGGGAACCTTCCAGCTCGTTGAAGAATTCCTGGTCAAACTGCTTCAGCCAGTCGTCGGTTGCGATGGACGCCGCACCGGCCTTCTTCTCCTTCTTCGCGCCAAGCACGTCGGCCTCGTTGTCGACCAAGAACTTGCGACGCAGCTCGGGGTTGGTCTCGAGCTCGTGCAGCTCCTCCTCGGTGAAGTCGAGCTTCGCGGGGTTCGTCTTTGAGATGTTGCGCAGCGCCCGGGCGAACGCCTTGCCCATGGTGTCCTGCATCTGGCCGCCGACCCTGTCGGCCATCTTCTCAATGTAGTCGTCGATCCACATTCTCCTCGGGAGCCATTTCGGCTCCACGGGCTTCGCGGGCGCTTGGGGTTTCGCATCGATGATGGGCTGGACCGTCGAAAAGTCGTCGATATAGGGCTGCGTGTAAGGATCCGTCCGTAACCGACCCTGGATCACCAAATCTTTCGGGTCAATGGCCTCTTCGGCGGCCTGGAGAGCTTCCCATTGCTCGGGGGTGTACTTCTCCTTCAAAAACTCCTTTTGCTGTTCCGTGTACTCGGGGAAGTGTTGTTTCGCATACTTTTCGATGGCATCAGGGGTCGTCAGACCCATTTTCTCGGCGGTGATATTGTTGAATCGTGACCGCCTCCGACCTGACCTGCTAACGGAGCTGTGGAATAGACGGTAGGGAAGGGCGGCCGGTGCGCGCGAGGCGGAGGAGACGCATCTCGACAAGACGCTCCGCGCCGGGCGTACCGAGTTCATCGCAGCAGAGAGGGGCGACGTCTCTGCGCCAGTTCGTTGCCGGCAGCAAAGAGGTAGTATGAGGTCGTCTGGGAGTGGGTGCAAGTCGCGTGATGGGCTCTTCGGTCTTGAGCTCAGGGTCGCGCCAGCTGGTCGACAATTTTTTTGGAAAGCTCAATTGGATCGGCTTGCAGTCAATTACCTGGGACGGATCCAGGCCGTATCATTGGTCAAGAGGCCCGGTCTTCTCCCGCCCTTGGCCCGTGCGACTACGGGCATGACGGCGCGGAGATATTCCTCGAGTCACATGACCCAATTGGAGTCAACGGCTTGTGGTTGGTGCCACACCGAGAGCTTCCAAGTCACCGAGGCTCTGGTGGAGGGCTGGCTTACTTAATCCTTTCATTGAGTGCACGGTCTTATTCCGACTCTTCATCCACCGTGAGCGACCAGCAGACCTCTGTCAAGCCCAAAACGCAAAGTATTTGGACTGGAGGATTTTGCTTTCTTAGTAAACATCATTCTGAAGATATCACAAAGCCAAGCATAAGCTTTCTCCGACCGGAAAGAGCGCAAGGACCTTCTTCGATGTCGTTGGCAGTTCGATAACCACATAACTAATCCAATAGGTGCGTAATACGTGCCTGCAACAGAACGTCTTTCCCGTGAAGAAGCCCAGGACCCCTTTTTAGTGCCGAAGTAACCGCTGCAGCTCGTCCCTGCGCAGCCAATCACCCGCAGCAGACATCAGTCGACTTTCTGCCGCAGGCCTGAAACGCGCATCGATGCCGCCCCTCCCCTGGCAGCGCCCTCCCTCACACATTCAACCACCACGATGCGGCCATGTCGCGTCCTGGTCTCATACCCCCAAGGCGGTCTAGCCTGCAAAAGGCACACCACGGTGGTGGCATGGCCACCGTAGGGCCACCTCCTCGCCCTTGAAGCGCACCCAATTGTGACGTCTCCCGTTTCGAGAAGCCGAGCGGATCATTTTCCCTACATCTTGGCCCCTACTAACCCTCCTATTCTTTATTCTCTCCTTCTGGACTGCTTTCGCATCTCGTGTTTCCTGCTGTCGAACAAAAACCTTCTAATCCGGTCCCCTAACAATACGTACATTTTTTTTCGGTTCCCTTGTGACTGGCGCACTTGAGACTCAGACCTTCATTTTTGACTTTCCTGTACACACCTATAATTCCAACCATCACAGTCCATACCGACCGTCGCAGGTGTCTGAGCAGACTTCACATCTCTTCAACCAGCCGCCGAAAATCAACACCGGCAAGGCGTAAGCCAGTCCACGATTCTTGGAGCTATCGCGCCTGCACCGTACCCGAACATCGATCAAACCCGCAATAATGGGTCAATTCGACTGGTTCCGATCTATTGGCGCGACGCCTGAGGCTGTCGCGGTTCTGAACGACCAGCCCATTCTCTTCACCATTCTCCTGATCGTCCTCGTCGCCGTCATCCTCCAGGGAGTGCTTCTCTGGTACATCCACTTTGCGACATTGAAGCCCGAGCAGAAGAAGAAGAAAGAGCCGAAGAAGGGAGGCAAGGGAGGAAAGAAATGAGAGGGATTGCGGCCTGAAAGGCACGCACTTTTTCGGAAGATTCGTTGCGAAGACAGGCACTGGGACCTGTGTAAAGTGGTGGTTTACCAATGCCGTTACGTCGCTGGGGGAGACACAATGCATGCCCGGGCACTAGAAGAAATATCGTCGTGGCGGACTCTTCTCAGCTGCAACTATGGAGCGAGAGGTTGGATAATGAATTGTATTAAGGCTTCAGAAATGAGTCGGTTTTATGGCCGCGCCTGAGCGGCAGATACCACAGTTTGTGATGCTCGAATGTCACAGGCTGCGTTCGACATCCATTTCTTGCAATATATCTCTTGAAACTCCGTTCCATGACCTCGGTGTGGACATCGGCGAAATATCAGCCCATAGACTGACAGTGAGTTCTCAACTCTTGATTTACTTGGTTTGGTCGTTATCGTAAAGGTCAATTTCGCTTCCGGAGAAGACTTCGCTTGACCAGATGTAATCCTGGGGCCTCCGACCGAGTTCAGGTTCCCCGTACATCCCATCATCATCCGGTTGGCGGTCATGACTGGTTGGTTGGAACGATAGCTCCGAGACCAGCCCCTCACCCTCGTCCTCGTCGCTTCGCCAATCGCTGTATGATATGAGAGACGTTGACCGTTGCCTTTGGGGGTCATAAGCATCATGGCCTTTTCCGAAGTCGTTCTTGTCCTCGTTATAAAGGTCGAAATCTGACTGATCACTGTAACTTCCAGGACCGAACCCGACCAGTTCTCGCGTCGAGTTAACGGTTGGCAGCGATGTATCTGCCGAGTCGAAAGCCCAACTCGGCCTATGCGCCTCTGAGTCTGCCTCGCTATTTGGTTCAGAAGGGCTTCCGAAATACGAGAGTAGTCGTGGTGAAAATGGCGAGCCAAGAGCTTCTAGGTCGACATCATAGTTTAGAGTGTCTTCCGGGTAGCAAACCTCGTCGTCGAATTCCTCTTGCTCGTTTTCGAGCTCGCTCCGCTCCGTGAGGAGATTCATAGTCAGGGGTGAGGAAGACCATAGCAGTCTCTCGTCAATTCTCCATGAAGGCGGCGTGTTCTGGTCAAACTCCCTATCGATGTCTGATAAGGTGTCTAGGGTATTGCAATCCTGGTTCGCTTCACGCTCATCATTGGTCGCAAGGCCGAATTCGTCATGGAGCGAAGCCTCATCCTCTGGTCCAGCTCCGTACGTTATCATGGTATTCAGTTCCAGGACTCTTGAGGATTCATATAGACGCGCTAGTTCTCGGGAGTGTTGCTGTGAGGGTTTGGTTTCTTTGCAAGCGGGTATTTGCGCACGCATAAGCCTCCAAATCCGGTGCTCGAAGCCATCGAGCTCATCGTTTTGGGCTACACTGGGGAGTTTGCCTGCGGCGGTGCTAGTAAAGACAGGACCATAATCTCGCAGTCGACGAGACTCAATGTGATCAAGGTCTTGAAACACAGAGGACAACGCTGGCAGAAGGCGAGACCGAGAAGTCAAGGACTTCGTCTCAATTAGTTCTTGCATCGGTATCAAAAATGGTCAGACTGGCAACCCACCGAAAGATAGTTCATGCTGAAAACCTCGGGTGCGAGGCAGATAATTGGTGTTCTCGTCGTAGTCAATGTTCTGATGCAGCTAACGGCCCTGCGGCCGACGACTAACGTGTTGAGACCGGCTTCCACAAGTCGACCTATGGAAGAAGTGAACTCTCGATCTTGAGGCGTCTGCTTGTCGGATGCAGCGGCAGCATCGCAAGGTAGAAGACCTACGCCTGAATCTTGGCTGCTAAAAGGGTCGTCGATTTCGTCTTGTGAACCCTATTCCACAGACGAGACATCTAAACCCAAGCCACTTTCTGAATCAAGGAGGGGCCCACAACTGCCAGTCATCGATAACTTCTTTTGAGGGTTTGATCCCACAGGGCCTCCGGAGATGGATGGTTCCCGTCGAAGGTAGAACGAGCAGGTCAGATGCTGCATAGTAATGACCGTAGTGTTGGGAGGTAGAGTTGGGTGTAATACAGCTTCTGTATGCTCAATCTTGAAAGATAGATGCCGATGGCCGGAAGGACTCTCCACATCGCGCACTATATTGATTCCTAGCTGGGCCCAGATCTATAACCGATTAGCAAGTGTCGGGCATCATCTCAGCAACGATGTTGCTTGCCGGACAGCTTATTATGCCAGCGGCAGTGGTGTCTATGAGCACCGCTTGGTCTCCTGCATTGCTTTCCTCGTGGGTAAGCGAGACTAGGAAGCAGCAAGTTGGAGCCTTGAGGACAAATAGATATCCTGCTTGAATGCCAGCGAGCAGCTCGTTGGCAGTTGAGAATAGTTTTCGGTTTGTTGACGAGCGGAAGGAGATCGTGCTCGCGATGTCAAGGACAGTTCCAGTCGTGGGATCAGACAGAACAACTGGGTCAAGCGATAGAGCAATTGTGGTCATGGTCTGGAGGGAAATGGCACCTCATCGCCGGAGAGGAGTATTTTTGTTAAATGCATTTTGTCGAAAGCAACGAGTGTCGTTAAAATCTCAGATACCGCTTAGGTACAAAGGTACCTTGAGGTACCACCTTAGGTCGGAAGGAAAGGTTGTTCATCCCACCTTGGGAAGGGACGTACCCGCCGGCGATATTCTTCGGGACGATACTTGTGAGGACGACCGGCCCATCACATTTCACATAGCAGCAATATCACTCATTGACTACCTACTTGGGTGGGGGTACATAAATCCACAATTCGGGCGTCATTATTGCTGCACTGCGGGTACGGCGTGCGTGCATGGATCTATAGCAGCAGAGGAAAACGGAGGTATTGCCGTCCTCGAAACTTGAGTTGAAGTCTGAATAGCGTGATAGCCCAGGTGGGTGGGTGAGGTCGATACCCTGGGCTAGATGTTTGGCCGGAAATACCGGCCCGAACGGTTGTTGAAGGACGCAATTTTGGAAGAGGTCGAGATCCGAACCGTTGACCTCCCGCTATTTTGCTAGTCCCCCACATGTCTAGCGTTGTCGCCGGCCGGTAACGCGCATCCTATCAGCGATGTCGATGATAAGCTACTGTTCCCCGTGAGTGATGAAAAGAGCGCTGCGCTGGACATAAATGCAGAATAAGGTAGTTCTTCAAGTCTTATCAAGATGGTCAACCGCTGGCGGCGACTACTTTTCAGGCCGACTTGTGCTTCCTTGTCCACTTTGCTACTTCTAAGCGAACCGAACGCAACAAAAAAAAAAAAAAAAACAAGAGGGAAAAAAGCCGAAAAGGAAAAAAGTTTGACAATTGGTTTACAACTCTGCATCTCCGCTGCATTTGTGGTAAGGCAGTGACAGCTTCCAGGTGTTGGTTAACCCCACATGATGTGCTGAGATCCCGGTCGTGCTGTGTCATCCGCGGCAGGGTCATATCCGGTTCTCTGGGCAAGTTCTAGCACGTCGTTGCTACCGCCAACTCTCTGTATGACGCAGGCACCACTTTACACTTCACAACCTCTCACTAGGATTTGCCTTACTCACCAAGCCGGGCCATCTCCCGTAACACCAAGAAAAGTCACTGACAGCATTGACTGTAAAATCTCATTGCGAATAACGAATCCTTAGCCAGCTTCCATTTTACCGTGATTCCACCTGTTGAGCGCGTCATTGTCGGTGTACATCTTCCACGCGACTGCCACCACAAACACCGTAACAGCTCCGTCTATTCACGACGAAAAGGCCCAGGGAAAAAACTTATCGACACCACCTCAGACTGCCTTGGCTGCAGCCCACACGACGACTCGTTGTTCGCCCTGGCGCAAGGAAGGAGCTAGGATCTGCGTTTGTGGCCCTGCACCACGACACAACCAGGACGGCATCTGACTATATCCACCCACACGTCTCGTCCGCGCCCGGGGCTAATTCTCCCCTCACGCCTCTCCCAACGACACACCTTCACTCAACCCGCACTGCGCGGAACTGCGTTCAAGGACGCCCGCCCGCTTTTGAGCATGCCTCTTTTCGATCTCGGCTCTCTGTTCCTCGACCACGTTGTTTTCATCACCAACCTTGTCTACATGAACATCGCCCTCTCCAATGCTGAACCCAGCCTACTCTTCCCTCTTTACGTTGTGTCGAAGCTACTGGCTCGAGGACCTGAAGATTGGGATTCTCCCACCGCAAAATGGCCCCCACCCATGAAATGGTAGCCAACTGCGGCTACCAGACCCCGGATGAGCACAGCAATCGCCCCTCGTACTTTGCTACCCCGAACGAATCTCCTTTGGCATCATTGCCCTTACCTAGATCTCCTTTGAGACGCCCACCCTTTGTTCCTCGTTCTTCCTATGGACCGGCCTTTGAGATGGAGGATAGCACGGCGATGCCCCCGGCCGAGCGGCAGGCAGAGTCGAATGAGTCTAGTCCAAACAACGCCAAAGCTACACTGGAGAAGCATTCTAGCTTGGGCAAAGTAGGAATTCGAGATCGGATCGCCTGTCATACCTGGACCTGGTTCACTATGGTAATACACCTGCTTACCCGCTCATCCGAACAATGTCGGTGCTAACGATTAGTAGACGATGGTAGGCAATATGCAACATACCATATTCAGAAGATACTGATTTAATGTAGGCAACTGGAGGAATGGCGAATGTGATACACTCTCGTCAGTAAACCGAGTACTGTCCTTCGGCGCATATGCTAACTTGGAACAGTCCCCTACCAAGCTGCCTGGCTCAACGGCATAGCCGTAGCATTTTTCCTGCTCAATGTCGTCCTCTTTATCATGAACTGTGCCCTTGCCAGTATTCGATTCAAATCCAGACCAGGGGCCCTCACCCATTCATTCACAGACCAGACGGAATCGCTCTTCATTCCTTCTGCTGTTGTCTCGTAAGCAGCCTGACTGGTCCTGCTTAGGCACCAACTGACCGGCTACAGCTTCGCCATCATATCGATCAACATATGCCAGTTCGGTGTGCCGCATGTAGGGCCGTGGCTCCTTAGAATCATGCAAATTCTGTTCTGGTTCTACATAGCCTTGAGTGTGCTTGCCAGTGCCACTATTTACCTGATTCTTTGGTCGACATTGTGAGTTCCCTCTTAGCCTACTCAAGTAGTTTTGGTCTGGCTAACGCCTATTAGGATATTTCCCATTCATACTATGACTCCTACCTGGGTCTTCCCAGCTTACCCTCTGCTTCTCACGGCACCTTTCGCGAGCAACCTTATCCAAGCCGCTGTGCAAACGAATCAGCAGGTCGTTACTCTCAATAGGACTGCCATTGCGCTATGTGCAGTCGCTACGCAAGGCGCGGGCTGCTTGATTGCATTTATGATCTCTGCTGCCTTCATCTACCGGCTGATGACGCAAAAATTGCCTCGGGATTTTCAACGCCCTGGTGTGGTGCGTAATTCTTCCCTATAAAACTATTGAAGGGTGACGCTGACCAAAGCAGTTCATTTCTATTGGGCCGTTTGCCTTCACGGTCGGAGGCTTAGGTAGGATTTCCCCTCTCGATATGGTTGGAGGCCCGACTAAATGTTTCCAGTTCAACTCGGTAATTCCGCAGACAAAATTCTGCCCAGCAATTTCCTGGGCACCGACCTTGCCGTACCCATCATCAAAGTCATGTCAGTCCTGATCGGGCTGTGGCTCTGGGGTCTGAGCATGTGGTTCTTCATCGTCTCCGTAGGATCACTTTGGAAGTATGTGCGGCCAGAGAGCAAGATGCCTTTCCAAATGACATGGTGGTCGTTTGTCTTCCCGAATACAGCACTTGTTACAGCCACGACCGCGCTTGGCAAATCCTTGCAGAACAACGGACTGCAGATATTTGGCTGCGTCTTCGCAGCATGTCTGATAGTCATATGGTTTGTTGTATTTGTAACGATGATTCGGTGTTTGTACAAACGGGAGCTCTTATGGCCAAAAGATACCCAATAGTGGACAAAAGGTCCACTTCTGCAATGAAATCGAATGAAACACGAAAGAGAAAGATATGACCCTAAAGCGAAATTTTGTGGCATGACCATCTTTACTCGATGAGTTATTCCTCCTTGAGACGTGACATAAATCGGAGCCAGACGTTGAAGGCACCGATTCTTGGGCAAGGGAGAGCGGCAGCGGGTGAAAGTGGGGCTAGCTACCCGCCCAACCTCTCATCACTAAACTCAGTGCATGGATTTATCCTTTCGGATGAGACCTGTCCTCAGCAAGTCAACAACTCGGGACAACACGCCCAATATTTCATCTTTTTAATTTCCGACATCGAACATCCACTAGAAACATGTCGTGGGACTCTAAATCGGCGTTACATCGCCGACAGAGCAGCAATGCTGGCGGCTCCAAAACCCTACCTATCCACACTCGCGAACAGTCGGAAGCAACAATCCAGCCCAAATCAAGCCATGTAGCAGACGACTTTCTGCAGAGCTTCCTGGATCCTTCTTTTGACCCAGCAGCATATTTGAATGCTACTCTGCCACCGCTTCAACACGGCGGCTACCACTCATCACGAAGCAATGGCAACGGTCAGGCCGTCCCGCTGGCCGACTTGTCCAATGAGGCGCAAACGCTGCTGTCCCAGCTCAACATCCACACGACGAGGCTTTCCGGCACGTTGACCCAGTTAACGGACGACATCCTCCGGAGCGGCAGCCGACTCGCCTACGAAGTTGAGCTTCTCCGAGGTGAGACTCTGAGTCTCGCTGAGACGATGAATGAGACGCTGCAGGATGACATTAAGAAGTTCGCGCCGAGTGGCGTGGATCAGGAGGCCAAGGAAGCGGTACCCAAGGCCGCAGACGGGCAAGAGAGGAGAGAATCCGTGGGCGCCAGCAAGACCGGCGATGACGAAGCTGCGGCCACCGAGGGCAAAGCGGAAACCTCGGAACCACCCTACATCAACCAGCTGCGGACGCTGACGGTGGTCCGCTCCCGCCTCGACACAGTCATCAAGACCTTTGGCGACGCCATGGAATTCGTCTTCCCGCCGTCGGAGCTCTCGGTCAGCTCGTCCTTCCTCTCGGTCTCGGCGCCCGACCCGGGAGCGGAGCAGCACAGTACGGAGGAAAAGGGCCAGCAGGTGCTGCAGGGTCTGCGGGACGAGATCTCGCAGCTGCTGACCAAGTCGGAGGATCCCGTCAAGGGCATAGAGAAGGCAGCGCAGCGGATCGAGGAGCTCAAGGAGCTTAACAAGGTCTGGAAGGGCACGGCGGAAGAGAAGGGCCGGACAAAGTTCATCGAGAGCCTGGCAAAGATGGTGGAGGATCGGCATCGGGACCTCATGAGGGAGGTTGATCAAGCGAGCAGGAGGGATGGGAACGAGGGGCGGGCGAGGAAGGGAAGTGTTCATGCCGATGCCGCGGAGACCAAGACATATCTTGGGGGTTACGGCTTGATGAGCCAGCTCCAGAAGCTTAGAAACGGGTTATGAAAAATCATGATTGATGAGGCTGGGCATCTCATGGAGCTTTGCAAGCAGCGAAGCAATGGATCCTGAGCTGCTAGTTGGCAGTGAAAGCTTAAAATCTATAACCTCATTGAGATGAAGATGGTGGAACACAAGACAATAATGAGAGATTGAATCTTTTGTGGAATCCTATCTCGATTTATCTTACATCTGTTGAATGCAAACCATTCCCTGAGGATACCTTATATCTAAGAGTGTTCGTCTCATAAGTCTTCCGGATGGAGGTTGTACCTTGCGGGCTGGAAATCTTAGGGGGTTCGGCCTAAAATCGGCATGCGCTGAATTGCAGCTGGTAGGCCACCTCTGCTTGTTTTTTCATCCCTTCCGCACACTAAGTGCCCTGGCCCATGCGGAAGCCATCGGGCAACCCCCGTCCAATAAGAAAAATTCACCCCTCCAGCGGTCAGGTACAGAACTTGGAGGCGCATGCGGTCACTTAGTGGAAAGGCTGACAAGGCAAGCACACACTGCACAGGGCCATCTCGTTCCGCAGTGCCCTCACCTTTCCCCGATTCTACGTTCTCCCACACAAACACCCAAGCAAGAGCTACCACTTCGAATGGGCGGCTGAATGATAACTCCCATACTCGAGAGTCGTGAATTAGAGGCACCTTCTCTGTCGAATCGACTCCCGAATCCTTTTCCTTCAAACTCCCCTTCTAGCGAACGTCTTCTTGCTTGAGCTCCGGTTTGCGACGGTCGCCCTACACACATTCAGACCATACCATTCTCCTCAAGTAGAACAACGCTCCTCCCCTCGAACCAACGAATTGATTACACCTCCAAACGGTCAATATACGAAGATATACATCATCACTACAATGGCAGCCAACGAAGCAGCCATCCCCAATTTGGGGGGCGCTTCCGCTCAACCAAAGGCCGGCCGAGCCTCTCCGGCGCCCCAATCGAAGCGCGACCGCAAGCGCCAGGCACTTGTCGACAAGATCGCCAACCTGCAAGAGAAGTTCAGTCGGGATCGTGACCTTGGCTACCGCGATCAGCTTCAAAAGGTCCAGGTTGACACCAACCTCGTCCAGCGCATCGACCCGTACGCCGATGATGTCCTGAACATCATTGCCAGTCTGCGACAGGAACATGAAGAGACGCAAGGGCAAGAGGCGCTTTCCGACAGCAACCGCACGCTACTTCAGATGGCGGGCCCCAACTTTGAGGATTTTGTCCAGGGTATTGAGGATCTTGTTGAATACAGAGACTTTCATTTGCTTCAGCACATGGTAAGTGTGGCCGACTTTTCCCCATCCTGACGTTGGCGAAGCTAACAAATGCAATAACAGCACGAGCATGAGCGTCGCCTCCACCAGTACAAGAACGAATACCTATACAAAGTCGAAACTGCCAAGCGCGAGCACCAAGCCCTTTCTTCAACACTCCGCGATAGGCTTGTTAATACCCTGCTGTCGAGGAAGTACCGCCTGAACAAGGAGAAGGAAGCCTTGGAGATCTCAGATTCATCGGCGCTGCTGCTCCACCCCAACCAGTTCAGCATCACCAACCCGGCGAGCCCCGGTGGCACTCACGGAAAACGCGCGACGAGATTACGCAAGGACGCCGAAGAGCTTGCCAGCTATGCGGACAGCAAGAAGCGCAAGAGGCACCCGGGCGAAGACGACGGCTCCCCCGTTCCCTCCCGACGAGCGCTCGACCCCAACAACACAACACCTCTCTGGCAGAACGAGAAGCTTCGAGTCGCCGCGAAACAAAATGGCCCAGCCTACAGCATTGATAAGCTTTTTACTGAGAAAGAGCTCAGCATGGCCTACAATGCTGCAGCTGTCGCTTCCCACAAGCACATCCTCAGACACAAGCCCTATGCGAACGGCGGCTCATCTCCGGGCAGCGACTCCGGCAATGGCGATGAAAACGGTGAACACGATAGCGAGGCACTATCTGCACCGACAATGGAGCGCACTAGCTCCCACGCCACTAGAAGCACGAGGGCTGGCATCAACCAGAACCTGATCGACGCCGTCGAGGGGGCCAATGGCTTGGAATTGCCCAAGTATCTCGAAATCATGCAGCCACACGAACCTGCCAAACTGCCGTCGGTTTCTGTGACCAACTACTTCAAGCCGGTCAGAGGTAATACTGACGGCAACCTGCCGCAACCGCTGTCGCACGATGAGATCAATTCCGACATAATGGTCATGGACATGTTCAAGAAGTACGACTACAACCACAAGCCCGGTGACTCGATCGACCATCCCAATGGCAGCAGGAGGATCTTGGAGGCATCCATTACGCCTTACACCATGACTCCGTACACGGGATTCAAGCCAGGCCCTCGACCGGATCCGACAAAACTCCGCGAGGATTTGATGCCAATCGAGAGCAGCATTAGAGATGAGGCTCCTCCGTCGTCCCTCGCGGCCATTGCGGCCGTCCCCATGAGCCGTACCAGCAGCGCAACCGGCGGCGCAGCGATGAGCCGACAGGGAAGTGCGCGGGGCAAGGGTCGCAAGAACCAGAACCAATGATGACGTACGAGCAGTTGAATGGTGTTTCGGCGTTTGGGAAACAAAATGGTTTTGATCCAGGCAAAGGATATTTGGTAGGAGTGTATTCGAACGACTTTTGGGGGCAATCATCAACCCCGTTGACTGCGGTCAAACTCCACAGCATCGAGCAAGCTTATATCTCTTTTCTTTCTTTTCCTTTTCACGATGGAGGGGTGCATCTAGTGGACAATACATCGAATCCACAGCAAAGGTTGGCATATATGATGTGACAGAGGGGTGGTGCTACAACGGACAGATAACAGTCTTGTCCAGATTTATAGGGTGCGGCACGGCATTGGTACCCTGATGCTCATAGTTGAAAATATTCATATTATCATTGACTCATTAAGTACAACTCATGTCAGCTCCAGATTAGCGTGCCTCTTAAGGACCAAACACCAACGCCCGAACTTCGATGCTCTCGCGGCCCACAGCATCAGCCCTCGTCCTCGGATCTTCGAAGGCAGTGTGAGCCACGCGACCTCCCTCAACACCGGTGCCGTCCCGGAGACCCTCGCTGTCGAAGCACTCGAGCAGCAGCCGCTCGTCTCCCGTCATACCGCTCAGGTAGTACCATTTCTGCTCCGGGCTGAACTTGATACCCGCCGTCTGGCCGGTGTAGCCCGTGGTATACCGGTGCTCGATGGGGACGATATCCTCATCGGCCAGCGTCGCGGACGACGCGAAGCCCAGCGGGAACGACTCGACGGGCGTCTTGTTGAGCGGGCGCCAGACGTTGATGATGCGGTACCGGCCCGCAAGGAGCTTGTCTGCCTCGTCCTGAGGTAAGTGCTTCTTCACGCGCTGAATGACGGAGGACGGGGTCTGGTCGATGTGCACGCGGGTGACTGGGTTCCGCGGGGCTTTGGGGTCGGCGCGGCGGATGGTGTGGTCGAAGAAGAGGACGCGGGAGCTCCCGGGCACGTGTTCCAGGAGGAGCTTCTCGAGTTCTGGGTAGTAGTTTTGTTTGACGGATTGGTCATCTGTAAAGTCTTTTTCTGCGGAGGGCGGGAGGTTGCGGATCACCGCGAAGGCGTCGCGGTCTAGGGAGAAGTCTGCTTCGCGGCCGCGGATGTCATTGAGGAGGGTTTCTGTGGGAGCGTCGCCGTAGTTTCTGGAGGGAGGGCCGTCTGGGTTGATGAGGTTGTAGGGGGGTGCGTTGTCGGCGGGAGCGGCGAAGAAGTTTAGGGTTGCGCGGACTTGGCCGCGGGGGACTCTGTCGATGGCCATTGGAAGATGAGGGTTGAGTGTGTGATGCACAGTGATATCTAGAGCTTTTATGCTGAAGGTGTAAATGAGTTTGGTCTTTGCAATTCACTCCGAGACGTTGACGAGGATGGTGAGGAGATGGTGTTAGTGGGATCAGTGATACAATCTTGAAATATTTCCTCCTCCTAATCGTGAGCTTTTCTTCTTATTATATACTACAACACTTGGATGCTGTATTTCAAAGCATGATGATAAATGAAGGCATTCAAACCACCGAAAATGGGCCTATGCTTGTGAGAGAGCAATCACGTCATTTGGAGTCGATTGGTCTGAAGAGCCTCGGTGCGGAGGCGATTGGGTCAATGGGATTAGTCAGGTTGGAGACCATGCGTGGCATCTCTGGAGGTTTTGGGTTCTTGGGGTCTTGGTCCCGATTCCCGGGGTTTGTAGAGGGGGACAAGGCATTGGGGGCATTAGTCAAGGGCGTAAGTCAAAAAGTGCTTGGAATAACGCCTCGTTTGATTGAATGTGATCGACGGGCCTACTGAGGTGGGATACCGTACCTACTGCGTAGACAAAGGCAATTGAGGGTGTGAAGGATATATTCCTTTTGCGAATGTGATAGTCTGCCTGAGCAGCCACCCTTCTTTCTTGTCTTTAGCCATTGAACCGTTGATCAAGAGACGCACATCAACACACATGATCTCAATGAAAAGACCAGAGCTGGACTATGCAATTGGTCTAGGTGACTGTGCCTGTACTGCGTTCCGTACAGAAATTGTTCTGAGTAGTTCATTAAAGGGTATTAAAGTTCGGTCTTTGACAGCCTTACATAGCTTTCAAACGGCAAGATCAGATCGGAATGCCGAGAGCAGCCGGCAGAAAGTGTAAAAGGCATTTCCTGCAGTTTTACTGCTTGGGGGCCAGTGACTAAGCGGGAGGCGATCTGGGGAAGCTGGTCAATGATGACATTGCACAGTGTCCAGCTCGCCGTGTTTGAGACAGTTTCAACACGGCCGCAATTGCCGTTCCCCCTAACCATACCTTAGGTACTCCGTGCACTTGCCACAGCACCTCAGTTACCACCACCAAGCTCCATCTTCAGCTCGATCCCTCTCGGGGGATTCCTTCCCAGCATCCGGATGGCCCTAAGCGCAATGGCGCACCTGGTTGCAGCGACCCTGGCTGCAGCAAGACCTCGCTTCTACCACCCAGGGCCTCCTCTCCTACTCCTACCCACCTTACTCTACTGCGTCGACCTCTACACTAGTCTCTGGCCCCCAGTGGTGGTGGCCCCTTTTGACAGGCAGTAGGACTGCTCAATGCTATGGTGGTGACAAAGGCTAATTTTAGCACGTCCCTCTCTCTCTTTTGCCCGTCCATCGCTCTCTCGCTAGGGCCCTAAATTAGCCCCGACTTTACCAGCTCGATTCGATTCAATGTTTAGATTGACCCAAGCTCTCCTCTCATCTTGAAAAGAGCCGTTTGGATCTGTTGTCCGTCACCTAAGTAGATGAGACCGTGAGTTACGGGACGGATTGCATCGGTTTTACCCACCCCATCTTCTCCCGGGTCATTCAGCCTCTATTACCTGCCCTTGTCTCAAGAACAGACAGAAAGACGCATCTGGTACTCTCTCTGCCCCCCTCGTTGAGCTGGCTGGGTGGTGATGCTGCGTCCACCATACTCATACACCTCGTCGCGTCGTCGTTAGGCTTTAACGCTATCAACCCATATCGCGCGTGCTGTCAATGCGCGGTCCAACTTTCACCTCGGCGGTGATGATGTCCAATATCCCGGATTACTCAACACCGACTCATGCGCGATGATATCCCCGCAGCCGACGATGCAGCAGCACCAGCAGCACCAACCGCAGTCGCTCCCGCCGCCGCTGCCACCGCCGCCGCCGTCGGCGGTGCCCAACGGCATGCATGGGCAATCCCCGTCGCCCTCAATGAGGCATCAGCACATGGCTGCCCCACGGTCGTCGACTTCATCAATCTCGAGCAGCAGGTTCACCCTCCCGGACAGGAACGTGACCGCGGACACCATTGAGGATGCCTACACCCACTTCGTTATGTCCTGCAACCCGGCCGTCCCGCCCGACACGGACACGGCGGCGCTGCGGGAAGCTTTCCGGGTCCCGCCCAAGAGCGGCGGCAAGAGCTTCAGCACTTTCACCCTTTTCGAGCTCATTAAGCAGTTGGAGACTAAGGAGATCAAGACGTGGGCCGAGTTGGCGCTCAAGTTGGGCGTCGAACCTCCTGATCAGGATAAGGGTCAGAGTTCTCAAAAGATTCAGCAGTATGCTGTCCGGCTCAAAGTATGTTCCTATGCGTGGCCCAATTCATCGCGCAATTGGCTGACTCTCATAGCGCTGGATGCATTCTATGCATGTGGATGCTTTCTTTGAGTATTTGATGGACCACCCTCACCCTTACTGGACAGAGATCCCGAATGACCCAACGCCAGTGTGTGAAGCAGGAAGGGATGGTGTACTGGCAGAGGACGACATGGCTCTCCGAGCTCTCTTACCACAGATTCGGCCCAGGCGGGGGAGAAAACGCCCAGAGGACGACGATTTCGCAAAGTCCCCTTCACAACGAGCGAGGTTGGACTCGCCGCCGACGGGGACGGGCTACACCGCCGCCCGACCAGAGACTTTGGGTCCGTGGTCCGCTCATCCCGATGGACGGGCTACCTTCGGCTGCTCTGATCCTTTGAAGTTGAGCGCAAACACGGCATCGGTGACGGGCTGGCCTCCGGCCCCTGACACAGCGCAGACGCCGCTCACGGCATACCCACAGGGCCCGATGTCTGCGCTCACGCCGTCAACGCGCAACGGCGGGTTCTGGGGTGATGCGGAACCGAGATCGGCTATTACTCCCTCACGACCGAAGGCATCTCACCGGCGGCACGGTGCCAAAGTCGTGTCCTCTGCGTGGAGGAGTGGCGGACCGGGAGGCAGCGGTAAGACTCGGGGGAGACCGCCTATGAACAAAACGAACGTTGATGGGCCATTTGTGGCTTTTCCCGCCGAAGGACCTGCGTACAAAAGGCCAAGTCCCGATACCAAGATCGAGCCGGGCCCGATTACACCCCCGGCGCCAATACCTCAGACCGCACCAGCACCACCAGCTGCGGTCCCAGATTTACCACAACCGCCGCATATACCGCGGCCGGCCAAGCCGAGTATTTCACTACAAGTTCCGGAACGTCAAGGAGGATCCGTTCGCCTCGCGACGCCGCCGCCTCCGCCGATCGTGATCGTCAACGGAGAACCCCCGGGCGAAGTGCCCGACATAATAAACTCGACAGCCGCAGCACCTCCATTGGAATTCCCGCCCGGCCACAACGCGGGTCTTCCCCCCGGCGCCATACCACCAGTAGACCTGAAAGCGCAGACCGTCCTGCCGGTCGACCCGCCGCCCGCCGCCAAAGGCAGCGGCATACCGCCGCAACCCAACGACATCCCCATCGGCATGTTCGAGAACATGAAGGACCGGACCAACATCGACGCCGTCCTGGGCTATTTCGCGCACGAGACGGCCAATGGCGACTGGGTCGACGCGGACAACAACCCCATCGAGAACTGCAGCATCGCCGAGGCCTACGCGCTCGTGCACACAACGGTGGAGAGGATGTGGCAGACGGCGCCGAACCAGGACGCCTTTCTTATCAACCTCGCGGCGCTGGCGGGCGGCAGGGCGCTTATGACGACGAGCAAGCTGCGGGTGAAGCGAGAAGAAGAATACGAGGACCGCGCGACGTACAGCTGCAGCTGGGAGTTCCGGCTGGGGACGATACGGGGCAACTACAACATGGTGCAGACGGTCATGTACAATCGGTGGCGGCGACCAGAGGAGAAGCTGGAGAAACCCAACATGAAGGGCACGGGCGGCGCCGAGTCGGAGTGGGAGAGGAAGTATAGGGATTTGTTGGCGCTCTCGGAGAAGAGGGATAAGGAGATCCAGGCTATGCGGGCTGGGCTTACGGCGAAGCTGAACGAGACGTTTCAGGACGCCAAGGATCTTGAGAATAAGTGAGGGGAGTGTGTGGCTTGTAATCATATGGATCAGAGAGAATTATCGTCAGGGGGTTATTATCTGGGGAAGCATGCGGCGCAGAGAGAACGCCAGGAGAATGGCGTGGAATATCCACGACTCAAGGGAAATCTCCAGAAGGACAGGCAAGGAGTGATGGGGATGATATCATGCGAACGGCGTAATAATCGAAAGCATAGTGCTGGCGCAGGGTCATGAGAGAGCGTATATCAGGGATTGGACTGGGTGTTTAGGCGGAGGGGGCAGAAATACCAACTGAAAAGCAATGCTACGGTCATCTTGAGGAATATCAGTCAAGTACTCATCACACGCTTACAAAATCCATTGAATGCCTAAAACTTGAAGACACTACTATTCAAGTTCAAATCAAGGTGGACTGAGAAGGAAGAGTGGAGGAGGAGGAGGGAAGGGGCTTACTAAGGTCCTCCAGATCAGAGGTCAAGCGCCATGAGCCAATGAGATGCAAATCACTCAACTACAACAAAGCTCACTCATTGACTGTCAACTCGACAACTACTTCGTTCTATTTACTCTATCCGTCCATTCTCATAAACTCTTTCAAAATGCTTATCAAGGAGTCTTACGTAGACGTGCCGACCAAGGCCGACGGCAAGGATGGTTCCATGAGTTCGTGTCAACCAACCTGCAATAAAGATACTCGAAAGCTAATGATGGTAATAGGAATCTTCCTCTTCCACCCTTCCATTCCGGGCTATCCCCAAGCGTAAGATATTTTCCTGATTTCAAAAATCAGATTGGGAATCCCCAATTGACATGTACTGTAGCAAGTTCCCCGGTGTCTGCCTCTTCTCTGAGATCTACCAAGGTCAGTCAGATCATAGCTCTCTTCTCCATGGCGGCGGGGGTCTACCCAAAAAAAGCTGCCCTTTCCCCCGCACTGGGCTGCTCGACCCCTCCACCCCACCCTCACCGTAGATACACCGAGCTCACCGGTCCTTGACCGAGTACTTCGACTTCACTTCACGTTATGTCTTGAAGTATTATCAGCATATCTAGCCATACTATAGGGCCCCTATGCAAACCATACTCACTTCATATGATATGGAGAATGTATTCTGGGGTGGACCATACACTAACAAGCTCAAAGTGACCGGCCCCGTCGCCCGCTTCGCCCGCCAGATCGCCGGACAGGGCTACATCGTCGCCGCGCCCTCGTCCTACCACGACTTCACCGGCCCAGAGGCCCTGGCCTACGATGTCCCCGGCACCGACAAGGGCAACGCCTGGAAGGTTGAGAAGGTACGCCATCGTCTCCACTAGGCCCATTATCTCTGCATATGAGTAGACCTCACAAAGGAGTACTTTTGCTGACCATCTTCTACACTGATATCAAGACCCTCGAGTCCTACGATGAAGACTCCCGCCGCACCGTAGACCACCTCCTCACCCTCCCAACCTGCACCGGCAAAATTGGCAGCACGGGAATGTGTCTTGGCGGCCACCTCGCCATCAGAGCCTCCGTACGTCCCTCCACCCCTTTTCCCTCCCCCCAACTCTCACCTTTTCACCAAACCTCATCACCAAAACCCACTCACAATCCTCCCCAACTAACCACCACCACCAGCTCGACCCCAGAATCACCTCCTGCGTAGCCTACTTCGCAACAGACATCCACACCCGCACCTTGGGCCCCTACACCTCCGCAAACTCCTCCCCCACGGCCCCCGAAAACAGCACCCACACCCTAGACCTCTTCGCCACGAACCTCACCCACGCAGAAGTGGCCATGATTTTCGGCGTCAAAGACACCCACGTCCCCGCCGAGGGCCGCGACCTCATCCGCGCCAAGCTCCGCGAGGCCGGCGTCACGACGAGCTTTTACGAGTTCGCGTGGGCCCAGCACGCCTTTATCCGCGACGAGCTGTCCAAGGGGCGGTACGATCCGGCTATCACAAAGGTCTGCTTCGAGATTCTGTTGGAGTTGTTTGGGAGGACGCTCAAGTTGGATTTGGGTCCGCTGGAGGGCGTTGGCGAGGTCGAGCACGTTTGCTAAGTATGGACACTAAGCGTGTGTTGACGACCAGCAAAGAAGTATGTCACGTAAATAGAAATAGACTAAGGAGCATTGTCAAGAGGAATAGTATTTATCTGCGGACGACATGTCATCATACTCTATTCGTAATCTATCTGTTCCCCCCATGTGAAGTTTGTGTAAAGAAATTCATTAGGCATGGGGAGCCAGTCTCAATGCCCACGTAAAAGAAAACGCCCGGGGTTTTGTGTTAGACAATTGACCGGCTGGTATTAATCTTTCTCCAATTTTTTTTTGTTGCTTCTCCGTCTTTTACTTGGTTGTTTTTTTCGTGCTATCCTTGGCATACCCCCCTTTACTGCTTCTTTGAAGTGCTCTGCTGAGCCTCCTGCTGGGTGCTGGATACACTGCGTCCTCGTGGACGCTGGCCCGATGGGGCGCTCTGAAGTGGGTGGGGGGTGAGGTTGGTGTTGTGGGGAGGCGAGATGGTGGGAGACAGAGACTGTCCGTAAGCGCCGGAGTACCCGGTTGATTGGGCGCCGTAGTAGGGAGAGTTGTAGGATCCCTGAATACCCGTCTCTGCCTCCTCGTCGTAAATGCGGTTGCGAGACGTCGTCTGGGTCAAACCGAGGCCGGGTCCGTCACCGACGGGGGACATGGGGATGCCTTCGCCGGGCTTGCGACGGCCACCACCGCCCTTGGTGCTGGCGCGCTTCATCAGCTGACTGCGGACGCGGTCGATGTCGTTGGAGCGGCGACGATCTTCCCTGGAAGACAAAGTGTCATCATCGCCTACCCGGTAGCCCCATTGCTCTTCGGCCATCGGGTCACGCAGGTTGAGTTCAGCTGCGGCAGCCTTCTCAGTGTTAGAGTCCGGGTTGCCGTCAGTTCCCTCGGCGGCGGGGGAGGGCACCAAACGCGCGGCCTCCTTGTCCTTAGCAGCCTTATCACGGGCTGACGCAGCGAAGGAGTCGGTGACGGCGACAGAGTAAGATGGGTTGCCAGGAGCACCGAGGGCCTCGCTACCACCACCAGGGGCATAAATGGGGATCTTCTTCAAAGCCATGGCCAGGGCACACATGAACTTGGAGCGACGAGTAGCGCGAACGCCATCGTTGTGCCAGTTGGACTTGTGCTTGATCGCGATCTTAAGCTGAAGCTTGTCCAAGTCACCGACACCGGCAACGCCAATGGCGATATCGGGCATGAAGTCGCGGGAGTTGTCGGAGTTGCGAACAAAGTTCTCCATCTCAACACGGAGGAGCTCGAGGTCCTCGAAGCTGGTGTCGTAGGAAACGTTCAAGTCGATAACCTCCTTCATGGCCTTGCTACGGGAGACGTTCTCGATCCACAGGTTGTTGAGTGCAATGTTAGGAACCTGGACGATCTGCATCTTGTCGATACGGGTGAAGACGGTGTACAGAAGCGAAATCTTGTCCACGATGAGTTGCTGCTTCTCGGAACCAACAATGTCGACTCTGTCACCGACGTCGTAGGGGTGCTTGACGAAAAGGAAGATGCAGGAACCAAGGAATTCCTGGGTGGTGACGGCGAAGACGAATGACAGGGAAAGAAGCGCAGTACCAGCAGTGGCGACGGTCTAAATTGGTCAGCGGGGTTCAGGATGAAGTAGAAGGGGAGCGGGGAGCTTACGGTCAAGAAGCTGGACTGGAACCACGCGAGGAAGATGAAGACGACGATCAAGACAACAACGAACATGAGAACCTTATCAAACACGCGGAGTGCCTGACCAATGTCCTTCATTCCCTCGGTAATAGCCTTGCGTTCCTTGCCAATCTCGACTACCTTGCGTGTCATCTCCTCCAAGCTGATGTCGCCGTTCATGTCGTTATCGATCATACCGAAAGCCTCGTCGGCCTCCTCAGAGTAAGCGGGTCCAAGGACTTCCAGGAAGTCTTCGGGGTACAGCGAGTCCTTTCCTTCGACCACGAAAGACATCCAGATACGGCGGGCGAGAGCCTCAGAAGGCTTGTGCTTCTCGAGGGCTTCAATAACAATGGAGTGGGCCGAGTTGGGGTTGAAGACCTGCTTTCCAGTGATTTCCGAGGCAATGTTACCGAAAACACCGGTGATTTTGTCTCCTACACGGCCAATGTCGCCGACAAGGCGGAGGGGCGTAGCGCTACCATTACCGCCCTTGCCACCCTTCGCAGCCTTGGCTAAGATCAAATCGAGACTATCGTTGATGACATAGTCCTCGTCCTCGAACTCGGGACAGTACATAGGGAAAAGGGTGCGAGAAGCGTCGTAAAGGAGACCGAGCAAGCGAACCTCGCGCTTGGACTCCTTGATGCGAAGGGCGAAGGATCTCTGGTGGTAAGAGATACCGATGAGCTGAACAATGGCCTTCTCGCCAAGATATACAGCTGAAGACACAAATGTGGCACCAAGAAGACGAGTCATGGTGGTGACCCAGGAAGATTGATTGTCGGACTTGAAGAGAGCCTGGAATGACTGCCATGATGCCAGAGCCCAGAAGAAGAGTGAAAGGGCAATCTGCAAGTTTTGGAGGACAGTAGCGTACTTGCGCGTACCGGAACTGACAACTCCGCAGAAGAACATGAAGGCGTGAGGCATGAGCCAGGCGACAACCTTGCCGGCCCAGAGGGTCAGCCAGGCGATCTCAATCCACAAGAAGAGGAAAAATAGCGATTTCTCGCTGTTGTTGCCAATTTTGACATCGTCTTTGTGGCCCGTAATGGGGAGAACGATGAGAGGTATCGCGAGAAGAAGGCCGATAGGAATGATGTAAACCAGGTAGCGAGTGACGACAGACGCGCTGGTGATCTTGGTGTAGAAACGACCCATGGCGTTCATCTTGACCTCGTCCGAGCCAGCAGTTCCATGGCGGCCAAGCTCTGCCTTCTTCTTGCGGCGTCCGCCCTTGGCATTGGGGCGGTGGAAAAGGCCATGCTTCTCGTTTGTGCCAGAAGATCCAGAGTCCTCGTTGGAAGCGTTCATCGTGGGC